GAGGTGTATATAGGGCTAGAGGTACGGCGTCTCCGTAATCGAGGAACCGGAAACGAATATCCGGATCTAGGATTAGTAACAAGATTCTAGACGCGGAAGCGAGGAGCTTCCGTAATAATACTTACATTCTATTTGTCTTTGTCCCGGGCGTCTAGCTAGGCCTATACGGGAGCCGGTAGTTTGTATATACATGTAGTACTAAAGATCCTTTAGCTCCTCCGACGCTATGGCCGCAACCTACTCTAAGTAGGGGAGGTCCGGTTAAGAGCACAACTTAATATGTGCCTTTAATCGACAGGTATGTTTAAAAGTCTTGTAATATATACGGTAGGCGAATGGCATTTGTAGCTAATAATTAACACGTACGTAGCGTACTAGAGCTTCTAGGGAAGCACATCGTCTACTATAAGAGCTAATACCGTATATAGAGGCCTATTAACGCTCGTAGGCTTTCATATAGACGCCGAGACTATATAAATCGCGAAAGACTCGACTATACAGCCCCGAGTCCTTAGGCTAGGTGTAGCGAAAAGGTCCCTTAATATAGGATCGAGTTATAGATCCTAAACCTTGTTCGTTAGTATGCGCGTCTTTCGTAGACGCGGTATCCTTAGATAGCGATAGATCGGATAGCTCGGTTAAGTACAGATACTATAGCGGAGAAGCCTACGTAGTTTCGAGGGGATCTACTACGTACTATAAGTCTATATTATCCTCGATACTACCGCTCGGCGTATACGGATCCGCGCTATAGTACTCGTTATAAGCGCTGTCTAAAGGATTAACAAGTACCCCGTAGAGTCTAGGTCGATTCGTTAGGCTGTTGTTATTTACGGCGAGTAGCCTTAGATTAATAGCTAGTATGTTAATGTCGCTAATATAGGAACTTATCGGATCGACACCTACTACATCTCTACTAATCTAGGACCTGTCGTAGTATAAAGAAGGATCACCCCGAGCGCGATTATTAGGAGGCAAGTCCTAACTAGTAGACTAACAGCGGTTTTGTATCGTAGGGGGGGAGCTTCGAATATCTTCGTGTTAAAGACGGGTCCGGTTATGCCGAAGGTAGGCCTTACGACCTTCTACTACGACCTTACACGCTACCGGAGCGCTATCCGTAGCTAACTTCCGCCTACGCCGTATCGGTTTCACTTTGTAGGTGTCTCGGAAATGCCTCGCTAACGCTTTACGTCTATTAAGCGTCTTTTCGTAGCTATAGGGACAGGTAAGCGGCTAGTATACTCGTATATAGGCCTTTCTCCGGCTTTCGGCTATAAACATTCTAGGACAGCCGGGAAAATAATAAGGAATGTTACGGTACACTCTACGGTTTCGGGTATTCTACTCGGTCTTAAGAGTCGACGTACATTTAGATATGTTAGCGTTACATCTGTCTAGCGGACCGTACGTAGCTCCCCGATCGTCGTTAGGCGCTAGATGTACGCCGCTAGACTCTAGAGTCGTAAGACCGTCGGACCCTACAGTCTCGACAGTCGGCTGCTTCGAATCGAGTTCCTTAGTCTACTAAGCGAGCCTATCACTCTTCGTAGGGAATCTAATACTATGTACGTAATTGACATAGAGCTAGAATACGGAGTTCGATACTATATCGGTCGAGTACAGTAGATGTAGGTAGCGTAATAGCTATGTTACTTCGTAAAGATGTTCTAGAAGATAGTACTACAAGTTTTAGAGACAGCTAAAAGGGCGGTAAGCTAGTTACGGCGAATCCTTTATACGGTCGAGGTAGAAGATACAATAGGGAGCCAAGATAGTAGCGCCGCGTTTGTTTAAGATCCCGGCGAACAGCTGTAAGTTCTCTAGATACTAGGTGCAATGCTCCCTCTAAGTAGTATCGCTAGAAAAGTACTCTCGACATTCGTAATAGAAGACCGGGTTACGGGGTAGAGTGTTACTAGTATAAACCTCGTACGTAAATTGTAGATGTGCCTCTAGCTCCTTCAGCCCGCTAAGTTTAGTAGTATAGTCTTACTACCGGTATAAAAGTACCTCGTAGGTCCGTAGGTGTAATAGGAGATAGGTAGCGATCTCTAGAGCCGACTTATTCTCTAAAGACCGGCCGTACTAGTTCTAGAGGCACTACGTTAGGCGGGACGTCAAAGCTTCCTAGACTAGAGCTGTGTCCCTATTACGTACCTTTCTAGAGTAATTTAACAAATGCTTGTTAAAGTCGGTCTTTCTTTCTAACCTAAACAATTAGCGTCTTTATAGTAACTACTTACATAAGGACTTACTAGTATTACTTGCCGTACTTACCGTATCCTCCTACGGCATCTACGACTGCCCTAGGATACGTAAAATAACGATTATCCCTACGTACTACGGCAATTAGTAGCTTAAGTACTCTTACTAGTAAGACATCTACGTTATTATAGTCGTAGAAACAGGCGACGACAGCGGCGCGTACCTAGTCGTACCGTAGAAGCGCGGACAATGCTCGTAATAGGCCCGGTCGGTACACTTCTACTTCTACTAATACGGCGAGCTCTAATCTATCGAAGATGTTGTTTTCGCTTATATAAAGCTTCTTACGCTATTAGAACAGCGTACGTTCCTTAGAGCTTGTCCGAACCTCGAGCTCTCTATCCGGCATAGTAAGCTAGGGGACGTTAGTTAACCGAGCTCCGGGCGGTTAGGGCGCGGTAAGGTCTAGATTCCTACCTATCGATCTTAAGAAGTCTAATAGTATAGTTTCGGGAGTATTACCGTACAAAAGAGCCTATGTATCGACATTAGAGTACGCGGAGATATAGGATAGGAAAGAGTCTTCGCTTTAGTAGCTAAAATTTTTCCGCCTACGGGCGCTCGTTACTTAGCCTACTTATATTAGTAACCGATTGTGTCTACCTTACGCGACAAGCTTACTATCAAGTATGTTTCCGTATATACGGCGAAAGTTGTAAGCTATTATAGGATCGTTATACTACGCCCTCTACCTAAGTGCCGTAAGCTGTGTACGTAATAAGTTAGTAGACAGTATGTTTGTCTTAGAAATTGTCCTGTCGCGATCTATAGCTCGTAAGAGTAGAATGTGTTCGTAAGACGCTCGAATAAACAGTCGTCTAATAGCTTGCCTATCCCGGTAGCGGATCCTCTTAAGATCGTCGGGACTCTTAACCTGTTCGATAGTATTATCGGCTATCGCTAGGGTAAGGATCTATATAACGGGGTACAGCTCGCGGCGTATTACACCTTCGACTAGTAGAAGGTATACGCTAGTCGTAATATATTAGCCTATACCGCCTATAGCGATCGTAATTGTAGCCTACTTGTTATACTGTTTAAGTCGGTTATTCTTACGGTTTCGTAATCGGACGAGGACTACGAAACGAGTACTGTCGTACTTACTCGAGCTAGCGGCGGCACTTAGTACTATAAAGATCGTAAGATCGCTATATAATACGCCTTCGTTACTTCCGCGGTAAGTACTAGACTCGAGGAACTCTCTAGGTCTCGTTCCGAGGTACGTAAGGAGTAGTATAGTAAGGGAGAGCTACAAACGGTAGCGGGGATATAGAAACTCGTATTTATTATATCGCTATAAGAAATAAAGAACATCGATAACTACGGGTCGACTAGCTATAGCTTTTTCTCTTAAGGTTGTCGACACATTACCGAGACTTACGAGCGTATAGGTAATCTACTACCGGGTACTAGTTAGTACGAATTTCGGCGTAGCGTAATATAAGAATGCTTACATCCTAAATATCCTTGTACTGCTTTTCTTTATAGTACTCTCCCGAATCTTCTTATATTATTCGCTTTAAGAGTACCTAATCCCGCTTAAGTGTTCGTTTATACACCTCGTTCGCTAGCCGACCCCGGTACGTCTTAGCTCTCTAGGCGAAAAAGCCCTTAAGCTGTCTAGTACTAACAAGACGAGGGAAAAGATTATACTCGTCGTGTTCGACGCCGTTCTCTAATAAGTACCTAGATACCGTTAGTTTTAGTATCGTACCCGTAGAGCTATAGACTCTTACTTTATCTAGAATCGCCGTACGCGGGTACGTTACTATTTATCGCGCTTTCTTACTTGAGATTCCTCTACTATAGTTCTGTCGCCGCTAGTGTGCGCGAGAGCGTATATATCGATATCTACTATACTATTAGATCGGGGGAAGACTAATAAAGGAGAGATAGCCTAGCGTAGGACCTATGTATAGAGCTTTTAGGAACAGCTAGATAGCTCTCGCGCTGTCTTAAGGCTATAGGTAGCTATGCCTCCGCTATTAGCGCTATACCGGCGAGTATGTACTGACTGAAATAGTATTATAGCGTGAATGGGCGGTACATGTCTTTAAGGATAGAGGATCATGGAACCTAGAACCAGGAACTAGGAAAGTCTGTTCCGGTATACAATGTACGCACATCGGGTTCTAGTTCTGGGATCCCGGCTCCTGGGGGACAAAATAATCGGGACACTTCCGGCTGCGTCAGGGTCCCAGCTGTCCCGTTTATTCTGTCCCCCAGGAGCCCGGATCACGTGCAGCGTGCTTCGTCATCAGCACACAGCGGGCGTGGGCCCGGGCAGCCGAGCATCGTCGAGTAGACGGGAGTTAATAGGCAAACCCGTCCGCTCTTGCATACTCAAGCAGCTGACCGCGAGATTAGTACTACGGTGGGTGACCACGTGGGAATACCTCGTGCTGTATGTTTTTGATATTTTATTTTTTGCCCAAATTAATAATCTTTCGTTCGTAGCAGACAGAGACTCCAGCAGAACTGACTGCTTCTTCAAGGTCGGGGGAAAAAAAACAGAATAGTCGGTGGTGGTGGCAGGTGAGCTGGCTGGACAAGAGAGAGGATTGCGGACGGGAATTTTGAATTCTAACAGCGGGCGATGGCATCATCAATATTCATCCTCTCCATCGGACGACGATCATATGATGTGTATACTACAACAATTTCCCCCAGCGCTTCGAGTGAGCATCCCATAACGCCATCGCTATGCAAGCAGTCCGAACGTATCTCTGCAGCTAAGCAGCATCAGCTTCCTTTGCTCCTTCCTCCTCTTCCTGTTCCTGTTCCTCCTGTTCGGCCTTCGCCTCGGCTTTAGGAGGAGGAGGAGGAGGAGGAGGAGGAGCAGCTTCCTCTGCAGCCGTCGGAGGGAAGACCTCGACCATCAACTCCGGCAGAAATCGTCCCAATCTCTCCTCCGTCTCCTCCCATAACCCCCTCTGCAACTCCCCTCTCTCATCTGCCTTTCCGCCCGTAGGCGATGGTACGAGATATCCATCCCCACTCATCACCAGAAGGATATTCTTCAGACTCTCGGGCACTGCCTCGACAAGTAAATCGCTCGTCCCGATACCTCCAGTGGTGTTCATCATTCTCTCCATGAACCCCAAGATCTTGCCCCACAGCTCTACCATCCCTTCCCATTCGCTCAGGTACAAAAGGAAAATCTTACAGAGCAGCTGAGCCGCTTGGACTCGTGTCTCCGACATCCCAATGGGATCCGTCTGGTATACCTCGGGCCGCAGGAGGTTGTTGAGGAGAGGGAAGAGCACTTCGTTGAAAATTTGATTCCATTGCGCATGGTCCGGCGGTGCGAGAGCCGGGGACAACAGACAGCGTTGCAGCGCAGTGAAGGCTTGGTGGCGGATTTCCCGGCACGGATTGACGCATTGCGTTGCCAGACAGCGGAAGATAGGGGACCAGTAAGTGCGCCAGGCCTGATCGGTTTCCAGATGAGATTGCTTGATAAGTGAAGGAACGCGACCTGCAAGCTGCGAGATCAGAGCGATCGCGCGCGTACCCCGTACAACAGCCGGGTCCTTTTTCTGCTGTTTCTTTTCCGGTGTGGCTTCCTTCGACTGGGATTCTTTGGATTGCTGTCCACTCCCGCCACGTCTCGACTGGGCATGGGCCTTTTCTCTCTTCTGCTCCAATCGAGCACCAACACTGCCGGCCGTAGCGAACGAGTTCAACAGATCGACACAGAACTCGTAATTATCTGGGGTGATAGCAGGGTTCTGTCCCTCTGCAGCAACATGCTCCGCAATCTGGAAAACAAGACTCGCCGCATCTGCACCCTGCACGTCGCTCGCAGGCTGCAGGAGCAGATGCAAGACATTCCAAAAGTCCGGGCTCGCAGCCATTTCATTCTTCAGCTCCGCGGGGCCGCCAATGCATCCATACAGCCCTTTCAAGATGGGCTGTGCGCACTGTTTCAAGATATCTTGCCGGAAAGACGAGATGCTGTGCAACACCACCGGCGCGCGTATGTAGCCATGGTCGTTGCTAGCTCGTAAAAGACTGAGCAAGTAGAAAACGCATCGGCTCAGCGCCACGGGATGCAAGCGTTCCGCATCTCGAATGACCGTCTGTAAGGCCTGGGCGACGTCTGCACCTAGGCTCGTGATCGTCTCCTCGTCTCGCAGAGCGAGGATGGTTGCTAATTCCAGAACGTACACAACAGCGGGATTGTATACGGGCGATTCCGAGGACGACTTGGTACCGTTGGCACGGACGGGCGTAGGTGCCGGCAGCTCGGGCTTGACGGCGATGACTCTTGGAGAATCCTGTTCGGGAAGGTGAGATAGAAGCGACACTGTCAGTGATCTCAACGACTCCACGGGCAGCTCGCTAACATTGCCGAGAATCTGTTCAAAGTGACATTCGTTGATGCAGTCGACAGTGCATAATGTGGCCTCAATCTCCTGATCGTTTGGCTCCGGTGGTTCGTCGTTCATCACACTGCTGACGTAGCTTGTGAAGGCACTGAACAGGCCCACGTCGGCAGACTTGTCACTTCGTTCGATGACTTGCGCCGGCGACTGCAGAGGTATCGGCGGCAGATCAAGATCCCGAGAGATGGACGTGAAGGACGTCGGCACGAGCGAATTGACGAATAGATTGACAATGATGCGAACAATCTGCGAAACACGCGTCAGCATACGACCACACAATGTTACGTGCACAAAGATCCGGAGATGCGCGGCTGTGGACTGGCGGTGCGTGGCACGTTCGTATGTCTCAGCTTCACAGTCTGTCAAGAGTCCGAGACAACAATGCCACGCCATTGTCCTTCATACGCCAACCGGCCATATGCACGCACACGCGCAGCCTGCACAACATTAGGGCATTGCTACTCACCTGTGTCCAACCATCCCGGATAGCGCCCTCAGCACCGTTGATGATCCGGAACAGCACGAGCGTCGCCAGCTCGGCCTTGTTGTCTCTCCCGAAGTCCACAGCAAACTTGCTGACCATGATGCTCTTTCCGCTGGCCTGCACTTCGGTATTCAAGCTGGTGCTGGGTGGTGTCTCCGTCGCTAAGCTCGAAATCTTTGCCAGGCTCAGAATGACATGGTCGAGGCATTCCGAATTCCCGTGGCGAGCTGCAATCTGCGCGCATTGACCGTAGCCTGCGATCACACGTTGGAACACTGCATCTTCGGTCGCGGATACGAAGACATAGTTCAAAGTCGCAATGATAGGGCGCCATGTCGCCGCAAACATATCGGCATCGTACAAATTGGTCTCGCAGATGATAAGATTCTCCGCCGTGTGCGTCTTGACGAGCAGCTCTTTCCAAGCATGTTCAAACGCGTGCTTATTATCATGCTCCTCGGGAAGGACAATCTCGTGGGACTTGATCGCATCGTAGATCTCTTGAAGGTATTCTTGATCAAAGTTCTTGCCACCATTGACTCCTCGCAGATTGCGTGCGAAGTCTTCGAACTTCATTCGGTTCTGTGACTTCACATTTGGATTGTATAGATCCGTATTCAGCATGATGATGGCATAAGTCAAGACGAACACGGCGTCCTCATCTATGACTTGTTCTGGCTTGGCAGCGTTAAAGTACTTCGCGCTGAAGACTGTCACAATGCGCTCGATCAACGCGGACTCGCCAGGAAGTCGGAAGCTGTTGAGAAGTTCTCTCAACGCTTCATCCACGCGCATGTTCTTGAAATCGAACAAGTCCATGAAGGCATCGAGGATTGCTTCGTTGGACTTCTTGGAGATGAACTCTCCCAACACCTTCTTATCGATACGTGTCGTACCTTTGAGGAAGCTTGTGACAGAGTGCGGGTCATTTGGGTCATCGATAATCCCTTGAGCTGCGAGGAACGCAATGCCGCCCTTAGGGCTCTCGTTGAACTTTGTAGCTCCACGGATAATCACCTTCTTCCGCCGCCTCTGCTCTTGCAGCGCCTTCTTGTCCGGCAAACCTTCTGTTGCGGGCTCATCATCCAGGCGTTCAGCTATGAATTGAACAAATCCCAGCAGAGAGTCCAGACAAAGGGGTGGCACGTTCGTCGTACTCCAAGTCGCAGAATCCGGGAAGGCGTTCCTGGACAAGAGCCCAACTAGATCCGCGCAAAGATCACTCCTGTCGATCTCGCAGTCGTAATTGACAAACAGCTCGACCATGAAGCTTGGTATCCGCACCAGACCGCCGATATTCTCGACCATCGCTTCTCTTGCATCAGGCTTTCTTGAACCACCTTCCATGCCCAGTTTCTGCCGATCACGAACAGGTACGGGAGTGGACCGACCACTACCAGGCGTTCCCACTTGTGGCTGCTGCTGCGGCCGTACCAAGCCGGGCGTTGTGGGCACTCCCTGGTACAGCGATGGATCGATATGGGGCTCTTCCGGTATAGGTACTCGAGGATGTAGACATGCGACAATGTATGAGAGGAAGAGCTCCTGCTGCAGCTTCAGTACGCTTCGACAAGTCGCAAGAAGTGTACCAGCGACCCTTAGCGACTCATGAAGAATCGCTACGTTCTCTGAGCGCACAAGCTGAAAGAGATTCCGACAGAGCGTGTCCTTCGCTAACGACGCCAGACTTGGGTGGTTTGCAATGCTGGGTCCTGCCACTTCCAATGCCACATTGACGATTCTCAGAGCCATCACCCTCAGAGTATCCGTCCGTTGGCGGTCGTGGGGATCGAGCAGATCGGCTAGCACCCTGAACAGTTCCCGGATAGATGGTAGTCCATAAGGCCGGATCTCTTCTACTTCATCTTGCTCAGCGTTCGCCAGGTCCATCTGACTCCCGTTGACATCCTCCGAAGGCCTGCCAAGCGTTCCATTTGTCACCCCAGGGACCTCCAGACTTGACTGCCGCACCTGTTTCATTGCATCAGGCCCTGACTCGCCATTCGGCGCGCTATCAATCTTTGCAGCATCCATGTCTTCCTGATTGACTTCGTCATCCATACCCGCAACATCCTCGCCCTCAAATTCCGTTTCCAGCGTCTTCAGTCTCGCGAAGATTGTCTGACACATGGTCACCATACTGATCTCCGCGCTCCTTCTCAGAACCTCGCTCATGCGCAAATGACAGCAGATGGACAAAGCGCAAGTCATCATCTCACAGACGCTCTTATCGCCCAATACCGACCCCGGTTGTCCGCATATCATATCTTCCATGAGCTTCAGTATGCGCAGAAAGACCACCTCGTCGCTGGGACTGTTGTCTCCTTCGAATCTACAGTTGGTAACCGTCGAAGCGAGCATTTGCATCCCATGCGCGTATCCGGGGCTCTCTGAGTTCACAATATTGTAGGCCAACATCTTGGTGATGGCGATGAGCGCCAGACTCGTGATAGGAGCCGTAGTGCTTGAGCTCCTGATCACTTGCAGGAAAGGCTGGAGGATGCCGGGTGTACCGAAGCTCTGGATGTCCTTGCAGTGCTTCAGATCCGAGCGTAGTCTCGCGAAGCCGCTCATGAGAGGGTTGTCCTGCATGCTCTGTCCCTTCTTCCCCCGTAAGCCCCATCTTGAAGTCAAGCTCCCGTCGTCTTCTATGAGGTCGATCTTGCTGCTAGCGCGATTTCGGTCGTGGTTGGTGGAGCCTGTGCCGTCGCGGGTGGAATGGGAGGGAGGGGTGCGGTAGCCGGTACTACTGGAGGAGCCCAGGATGGAGGAGATGGAAGAGTGAGCCCAGCGGGCATGCTTGCGCATGGCGGAGGTCACGGTGATGCATTCCGTCACCACCAGAGCCACGGGGTCAATGGCTACTGTGATGTGATTGTGGTCTGGGACGCGGGTGATGCCTGACAGCGCGTCGTCGGCCATGATTGCGGTAGACGTCCCCTCCTCGCTGGGAGGGCAACGCAGGCGCTCGTGCAGGTGGTGGAGATGTTTCCCATTCAATAATAGGGATGTCGGTCGTCTCGCTCGATCCTGAGTCGGGGATTGCTGCTGCTGAAGAGTGATGTCGGGCCTGATCGGCTGTCTCTATTGTCCCAGCGACCGTCAGCGTCGTCTTCTGTTCGTTCCCTGCCGGCGACAGAATAAGAGGAGCAGGTGTTGGGTAGAGAGGCCGTAATGCCGTTCCCGTGTTTCTCAGACCGGTTGACAGGTAACGGATTCAGCTCGGGAGTCGGAGGCGAGAGGCCGATGGACCAAACTTCCAGCTGTCAGGAACGAAGCGACGCGACTCACGCACGACTTCACGAGGAACAACTCAACTTGAAAGCCAAGGAAACACTACAATGTACTCACTGCGCACCACTCCTCATTCGGTTAGATTGCCTCTCCTACCTACACACAGTACATATCCTCCGCATGCCCAGTCGTCTGTGCTATGTCCTGGCCGACGTTACAGTAGTCGGCGTCGAGATTCCCCTTTTGTTCTCCCAAACATGCCCGTTCTGGTGATAGGGGAGATGGGATAGATAGTAGTACTAGTACACCCTCTCCTCGGTACGCCAAGTTTCCCACTGCGCCTGCAGAACGTCAGAACAATGTTTTCCCCCCCTCGCTCGTATGGTGTCGACTTGGCTACATCTTGCCTGTCCGCTGGTAGAACGCTGAAAGAAGGCTGTAAGGATACATCAATCGCTGAGCTGAACTACCGGGTATCGGACGCAACCTCTGCAATGCCGCAAAAGACATGCATCGTTTTGATTCGAAATGCCCAGGGACATGTCTTCATCGCCCTGCTTGCTTCCTCTGAGGCTTGTAATCGTCGATCCTCACCGCAAGCGCATCGCTTCCCTAAACAGCAGCAAAACGCCAAAAGTCAGATCAAATGCACAACAGTCACTCGCTTTTGATGCCAGACAGGAAGAGAAAGGTAGGCCGAGTCGCATTCCAGTCGATCGTTGCTCTCCATGTTTAGCCATCCGTCAGCTGCGCGCGTCATCACCATTGGCATCAATCATCAACCCTTTCCGGAAGAGGGATCAACGTTCAACCTTGGCTCTCGCTTGCTGAGCTGCTTCGGCCTTCTGGGCGGGTTCGACATTCTGCTTTTGCTCTTTCGAAGGAGGAGGGTTCACGGGCGGAGCGGCGTTACTGCCCGCTTGTTGGCCATTGCCACCTACTTCCGGAATCTCGCCCAGCGGGTCGACGATATGCATCTTCCCTCCTTGCTGCTGCTGCTGCTGCTGCTGCTGCGATGCTTGTCGTCCCCCTCTCGGATCTGACCCTGCGTTCTCATCTTTGCTGCTGTTGTTCGAGCGAGAACGAGTCAGCGAACTTCTTTCCCCTTCACACACATCTTCGTCAACTCATCGCTCCACAACATGACAGGCAAACAGTCTCCGCTCTCGACGACAGCTCTCGTGCGTCTCCAGCTTCTCGTTGCTTCTTGCACTTACACTTCAGACGGCGCCTTTTCGCCTTCCTTGGCTTTTCCCGCTTGCTGCTTCTCCACAAACTCCTTCTTCGACGTGTCGCGGATCGCCTCCTTGTCCTTCTCCCACTGCGAAGACCCTTCTTCGAATTGAGATTCTATCTTCTTCATTCTGTCCGCCTTCTCCTTCTCCTCTTGCTCGCGCTGCTTGCGCTCTTGCTCCATTTCTTCCATGTGTCGGATGTCGTCGACGCTGGGTTCGTACAAATGCCAGATCGTGTAATGGGGAAGGCCAACGACAGAGAAGCCCATTCGTTTCGCCATCTATAGACATCGTTAGTCAGGCTGAAGTTGGGAGCTTCGCGCTCCTGATCGTACCTTTCCAAAGCCTTCAGTCTCGGCGTGCTTCTCGAAGCTGAAGGCTGGGAAGTGGACTCCGCTTCGGAAGACCTTGGCCTTTGCCAGGATACTGACACCGCCGACTCCGTCGATTTCCATCTCCATGTCGGGATCACCGTACGGGTCGCGAAGATACGCCAAGTGCGGTCTCCATGTTGCGTACTCTGCGTAACCTTCCACGATGACCGCATCCTCGTCCAGCGTATCTGCAAGCGCCAGAGCAGTTTCCGACTCCTGCCAGCTGTTCAAGTCGTACGGCTGCTCTCCTCCTAGCCAATCTGGCAGAGGTCTCCATACATCTGTCCATGTGTTAGCTCTGAAATACACCGTCTTCTTGCAGCTCTTTCAATACGCACTCGGTACGATAATGTCTTTGTTATGCCTCATCAGGTCTTCCAGGATGGTGAAAGGTGCTGTCTCAACGTCTACGTCTCTCCAGTATACCCAGCTGTGTGTTGGCCGCAACGCTGCCGATAGGAGCCAGTTTCGTGCTTGCGCCATACTCTTTCTCCGGCTCGCCTGTGCTGCGAAACCATGTCTGCTCTCCACATCTTGATTCACTGTCTGTCCAAAATCCTTCTCAATCACCGAGATCTCCCCAAACGCATTCTTCGGATCTTCGGCCGTTTGTAGGTCTGCGAGCAGATCGGATAGGAGGGTGAGGGTGTTGTCTTTGCTATCGCCCACCAGGAAGGCGAGATCGATCAAGTTGTGCGGGTAGGTCAGGTTGCGCAGGTGGGAGAAGAACATCGGTAGATGCGGTGCGGCATCTCGCAGGGGAGCGCAGAGGAGGATGCGCTCTTCTCGTTCCCAGCCGCGACTTGTGCCAGCGACGTTCGCAAGGTCGTAATACCGTACAGTCTCTAATTGGAATTCCTCGCCGCTGCCAAAAAGGGTCATCGAGAACGGCCCTGCGAAGAGGGCTGCAGGCCGCAGCGCCGGGAAGAAGAACATGAGTATTAGTATCACGAAGGCAATGACACCGCCCAAGCGCATGAGCATCCCTCGTCGTCGTAGCCACATGTTTCGTGACGATCGTGGTTGATATCTTGTGTCTCCGAGTCAGCACATCATCCGTCTTCGTTGATACTGCTGAAGGGCACGTCCACTTACTTCTCATATTTGTCCGCGTGGATACTGAAGTCCCTCCCCGCCTCGCCCATGGGATAGGCGCCCTGCCCTCTCGCAAAGCCATTGGCGCCGCCATAGCCGTGCCGGTTCATCTTCTTTTCCTGGTAGGCCGACGAGACATAGGATGGCAGCATATGTGTCGTCACGCCTCAGGACGAGATGCCGGATCCCGCTCTCTCGAGAATATCGTCCCAGCTCCCTCGCTCTTGTACCGGATATCAAATATTGTCCCTTTGAGTGCGCAATGTCGGTGTAACTTCGTGATGTCGTTGTCTCAGAATTTCTCCCTGGGTTGGCTGGCAGCGCGGAGGTCGGGGAACAGCTCCTTGGGTTAAGGTAGGGCAGAGGGGACGTCGCACTCCGCCTGAAACGATACCGGGGCCTTTTGTTATAGACACGTGTGTTCGCGAAAGCGTCGTCAGGTGAATCTGCAGTCGTATGCTTGCTCCTTCGTGGGGAAGAGCAGCTGAAGTGAACACGAGTTCGGGTTGCGTTGCGTGTTGCTCGCCTCTCCGCCGGCCCCATTCAGCAATGCTTGCGCCAAATCTTAATACAAGCTTGAACGCATGCAGACCTCCACGTCCGTGACGTGTATCGATCGACGTTCCTATGTTGAAGACAGGATAGGTATTGACGTGCAAAAGTGAATGGGAGGAGGGAAAGTTCGGGGTCAGATCAAAAAACATGCCGGGACATCTCACAACGTCAAGGGTCTTGGGAATTTACCGGTGATCTACATCGCCATAAGACGTTTGCTGAAATCACGACACGAGCTGCCGGGCGAAAGACTGCGTGAAAGAAATTGGAGATAATGAGGTGCAGGATGAACATATTTGATTCACATCGGCTTATTACAGCCTTGCTCTAACACAAGACGCTGCTACCCTTGGCCTGACCGAAGACCTCACTGAGCCATCCAAACGGTAGCAGAACACAGCTCTGCCAGCATCAGAGCACTGTCGCTTAGCACTCCTCTCTGCAGAATAAGCTACAGCCGGCCGAGAAAGTCCGACAGTGACCGGGGTGCCAACACAGGAGGAGACGGGGTTACCACTGAGGCCGGTGAGCTGCGAAGTGTTGTTCTGGTAAGGCAGCGGGAATAGCGAACGGCTACCAGGGCAGAGTCTGTGCTAGTGCGCAGATGGCGAAGAAGTCGTCAAGCGGAGCATCCTTCTTCTTGCGGCATCCGCACACGATGCTGTATGCCTTGGCGAGAATGGTCCACTTGGCCTCGAAGGGATCTACACGCCAAAAGATCGTCAGGGCCTTGGAGATCGCTTGCTGAGTGTGCGGTGCGAGCATTGCGTTGCAGTACTTGCGAAATGCCATCCAGGAGTCGAGCGATTTCTTTGGCCCGGTTGACCAGGTCGTCCGCACTGAGTGTGGTCATCGTGTACTCCTCGGCAAAGCTGTCGAGGCTTGGGGTGAAGACGCGTGTGATCTGCGGCATCTTCTCCTGGTCGCCCTATGGTGGCGGGCCCAACTGCCATTCCATTCACCCCAGATACACTTCTGGCGGAGTGACGCTGATGAGTGGTACGTAGATGGCGTTGCCATGAGCACGGCATCAGGTAGACCAATGCAGTAGTGACATTCCACTCTGATGGGCCTCGACTATGATCAGTCAGTGCAAGTCCTCAAAATGAGTCGCAAGAACGTGAACGAGTACATGCTGTTCTCAGAAAGCCGTTTTACGCATGCCCGTCCACCGGCACCTCGCACTGCTGACCATAACGGGCAGCAGCGTCCGGTGCTCTGGAACCACATAACGCGACATCACATGCTCAGCCGAAGCTTTACATGCTTGTCACAACTCCACAACCGATCATTCCATCTCAGCCGAGGCCTCAAGGTACGGTACGGGAGGGTGACTCGGTGGAAGAGGCTACCCTCGAGGGTTGGTTGAATGGATAGACTAGGTGTCATCTTTGTGGTGGGGGAGAAGAAAAGGTCTTCTTACCTTGGTCCAGCGTGGAGATCCCGAAAGCAGAGACTCGAAAGACATCGGGAGATTGGATCTAGACAGTAAAGTCAGTCGCGTATTCTGATACAGGGCTTGCAATCGAGATAAGCGTCGGAGTTGTGTATCAGACAAATTTGGTAAGCTGGTTGTAAGTATCCACAGTGTACTTCGGTAGCAGAACTGGACAAAACCGATCATCATGAAGATTGAGTAGTAGAAAACTCGACTTGCTCACCTGGTGCGTGCCATCTCTGTCTCTGGCCGAGTCATCGAGAAGCGCGCTGCGCAAAGGCGATGCGCGCGAAGCTTGAGCTCGTGCCTTTCCGCCGCGTGGAGAGCCGTTCCGCGCGTCCACCAAGGTGCTTGCACGTCTCCAGGACGCAAGCGGTCCGGAAGGGAGCTGCTCGCGACGTTGTGGCGGAACTCTGATCTCACATGTCAGTTCGTGAGTTCCTCGACCGCACGGACGAGATTGAAGATGCTGTGTAAGGGGGTAGATCAGATGGTGATGCATGTTTGTTCCAGGATCATGGGTATTCTCCAGAACGGTGTGATGGAATCATCAAGTGAGGCATGAAGTCGGCAAGAAGGTACTGACCATTGCTTCTGGCGCGCCTCTTTGGCCCGCCGGCGGCGACGTTGCGAGCGGCACGGCGGAGACCTCAGGCCGCGATTTCGACGTGGAGCAGAACAACTCTTCGCCAGTCAAGGCGACAAGTCGCGCCCTCAACCACAGTCGACCGCCATACCGTGCGAGCCTCACCGATCGATGACTGCGGGAGGCTTTCGACGTTGTGTCGTGTGTCGTGTGTCGTGTGATGTGTTAGAAGAAGAAGAGTGGAAGCGAAGAAGAAGGAGATGAGGTCGAAGAAATTGTTAGGCCGGCGCACGGATCCACCCGTGGCTTGGCATTTTGTTGCATGCATCTGAGCCGACCTCCGACTCACTTTTCCTTCCTTCCTTCCTTCCTTCAGTCACAACTGAACAACATGAGCTGAACAACAATCCACCCGGCTCTGCCTTCGAGCACGAGCAGAATCCCAAAAGGTACGGCAACTTGGCTTCATTCTAACCTTCAAATGATTAAACACCAATTTTATAATCTGTCAATCCCCTGAGCGAGACGGTGACGAGACAAAAATTGCTATGCTCTTTATGATATACCCTCAGCATTTCTGCTACATTGCGTGCATCAGCGGCTATTGAACTGCATTGCTGACAAGTATCCGTAGTCACAATTGCCTTTCACTGCGAGGAACAATGGCATCCTCATCCGCTCCCGCCGTCACGGAGCCCGTCCCGATCTACAAGCTCGCCCAGCGATACCTGCTGTACGATGTTGACGTTGTGACCTATCTGAGAAGGGAGCACAACATCAGTGGCGTTCTCATGGGTACTCTGCCTCAGGCCTCTCAGCAGAATGTCTTCCTCGGCCTACCGTTGGAATTGATGCCGGAGGAGGCTCGTGTGCTTGTTGAGAAGAACGCTGCCTACATCGTGGACGATGTCCCTCAGCACAGGGAGAGCTTCCTGGCCGGTAATCTTGGTGCGGAGGAGCAGAGGGCATATCAGGCTGCTTTGCGCAAGCAGGGCCAAAGTGCTGCCGCTGAACAGGTGCGGAAGACCAGCGAGAGGAAGAAGAACGCGTTGAAGAAACAAGGCACGGAGAATTGGAACGACATACCAGACGACATGCTCTCTTCCATGCCACGTCGGGTGAAGAAGGTGAAGGACGAGGCCAAGGATGAGACAACCGCAACGAGCAGTGGATCGGATGATGATATGTTTGCGTCTCCTGCGAACTCGTTCCCAGCCAAATCTGTTCGCTCGCGCACTCCATCAGATGCCAGTAACGCTGGCCCTGAGCCGTACGGCGTCACTCCCACGACTTCTTACCCACCTCTACAGGCACCCAAGCCAGCCGATGGTGCTAGTATTCCAGCCGTTCCCAAGTCTTACCCGATCTACAAGCATTTGCACGAGAACGGCTACTTCATGGCTCCCGGTCTGCGCTTCGGCTGCCAATACATGGCCTACCCTGGCGATCCCTTGCGGTTCCACTCTCACTTTCTATGCAACGGCATGGACTGGGATCAGGAGTTTGATCTTCAGGATCTCGTTGGCGGTGGCCGTCTGGGCACCGGTGTGAAGAAAGGCTTCCTCATTGGCGGTCAGGAGAGGAAAGAGCCTACGCCCGCAGGTGACGACAGTAACGTGCGGGCATTCTGCATCGAATGGGGCAGTATGTAGATGCGGCCCCCGAGAACTACACGAGTCATAGATTCATCAGAAACGTGGCCGCCATCCACCTCGTTCCCTCTCAGTACTCTATAACTCTGACGCAGCAATTCATGACAATGTTGCCGGAGGACCCATGACATCTTGGGTTGCTCGCTGGCATAGGCCCTGGAACTGTCATGGAATTCGAAGATTCCCCATGGCCTCAACTCTTCGGCGCAAGTGAGCGCAACTCCACGACTAGATCTCGTACCATTCGGAAAAGGGGACCTGCCCACACTCGAGCTACGAGGCTTCCTCATCGATGTTGTGGAGCTTGTCTACAGTAGCAGCGGCGTCGGCACGTGGAAATACTGTTTGGACCCATGTGCTTCCTTTAAAGAGCAACATTGCCATATCAGATGAGTACCTCTTCGACGACGCCGTTGCTCGCACGCTGATGACGAATTCGGACTAAGAGGGTGCGAGAGAGTCACGCCTCTAAATCTGCCATCGAATGTTTTCAAGCCTTACAGCTGGACACGACATTTCCGCAACTCTTGCCGATCTGTCGAGCGGAGCAGATGCGGAGGAGACACTACTTGCGGAATGCCAATCATGTTTCACCGTACCCCGTAGTCGTCGTAGTGTTTGCATGACTGGTCAGCGCTTACTTGTCTATGGGCCAGATGTTGCGCAATGCGGAGACCTACTATTTCAATTGCTCGGCGCACCTCATTTTTGGGTTCTTCGCCTTGATTATGAAAAGTTGCAACTGGTCGGTCAAGCTTAAGTTCACGGTATCGTGCACTGCGAAGGAGTTGCCGAATGGAACGCGAAAGTTGCAATTGCCAAGACATATCGCATCGGAGGGAGTTGATAATGTGCATGGAGCATTTCTTCGACATGGACGTACTTGGTCCCAGTAGCCATGTGTCTGCCGAGGGCAAGGCAGAGCACCGCAACAGGAGTGTATAAAGCACACACATAAGAGGACTTGCAAGTCGACCCTTCGGGTGCAGGGGCTTTTCTCGATTGACTGATCATTCATACAGCTGCCAATCCTGTGTTGCGAGAGCGATGTCTTAGCCTTATCAGCGACATCGAGCGGGATAGAATACCTCATCCGGGAAACATCGACGTCCGGGGCACCTTGGTCTTCTATGATGTCTCATCGCTCTGAAGTCTGGGCTACGCGGACTGATAAAGATTGAAGATGTTCGAAGATGTACTGGAAAAATCTCATTCGCCAGCACGAGCATTTAGATGTCTCCCGCACGACACTTTCCAGCTTCCGGCAGGGGAATCATAGTTCAAGTCAATTTCTCACGAAGAAAATATTCGATACCCCTCAGATCACGAGTATTTACTCCTCCGCCATGTATGCGAGAATGGTGGGTGTGTCTGCCCGTCGTCGTCATCCAGCCTTCCTTCGATGTCACGTCCCATCTGAAAGTCCTTCCAACACTTCCCCCGACCAAGATCAGCCACGATGAGGGTCGCAAACCTTAGTATGTTGTATTGGTGTGCAGGCGTACTCAATGCTGAACATAAAGGAGCGGAAGGACGCGTGAGTTGACCAACACGGCTTGGAAACTTCTGGTAGTAGTTGCCGATGCCGCCTTCCCGTCTTATGGCGGCAGAACCCTATGCTAGCCTTCCTCCTGATCCGCATGAGCTGCGCTACTGGATCCTGAAGACTCTGGAAATAATCATCCAGTCTTGGACGCATTCTCATTCCCTGACCTCCTCAATCTCCATTTGCTCGGGGAAGGTTCTGAATAATTTCCGGAGACACGAAACCAATCCTCCAGCGTCCGGCCTCTTTCTCGATCTTGACCACACCAATCTCCATGAGCTTCTCGAATGCAAACCCATAGACCAGGCAATGGTCTTCCCGGCGTTTTGGTAGGAAGATATGAAAGATTTCCGGCCGAAGATGGTGCTGCTTCCGTACGTCCATGAGCCGATGGATTTGGGATCGAAAGCTCTCAATGATGGAAATCCGACCGAGAGCATCGAGAGGGGGAGCGACGTTGATCGTGTCGACGAAGCGGACGACACGCAGACTGTCGAGACTCGGCGGCCGAAGACAGTGGAGCATGCGCTCGATTGAGAGAGCGCCCTCCAACTCGAAGGTGTTGCCGCCGAAGAAGACCGGAGTCGCTTCTTTGCTGATCTGGCGGGAGGCGCCCACGAGGGCGAGCTTGGTCTTGTGCCGCCGGGGAATGCCGCAGTAACGGCCCACGATCGCCTCGCCTTCGAGTAGCACGAGGGCGTACACTTCGTTGCGCAATTCAGCTGCCAGGTCGAGAAAGGAGACCCTCGCGAGTCCGTCGTGCTGGGTCTGAGGGCCGCCGAAAGAGGTCCTCGAGGTACTGTCAGTCTTTCAGAGCTGGCGCGCTTGGATTGTTGGTGTGGCTTACTCTTTCGACGTTCTGAACGTAAAAGCCGCCTGAGCGCCCTGACCGAAGACGAACATGATGGTTGTTGGTGTCAATTCTGAGGCCTTTTACTTAAAAGCAAACAGCCGAAAAACCGAGCGGAATTGCCCGTATTATGCATTCACTTGCTTCGCGACGCGCCTTCGAAGGAGTCACTTGCTCACGCGACTAGCGGGAAGGACACGGTATTCGACAACGCGATCAATTCACCTGCTCTCACAATAGCGGAAGATTTTACGGAGAGCATTGAGTCAGAAACACGACCAATTTATTATGAAGTGCGGCGGCAAAGATAGAAGGCGTAAAAGGGGTATTGATTATGCTCGCTTCTACTGTGGTACTGTCATACCCTTGTCGTGCATGAGCATGACCTAGCATTCAGCGGTCTGTTGCTGAATCCGGGAAATTCACAAGGACCGTCATGTCTTTTCTTCGTCAGCCACCTTGCCCTCTTACGCTCATTGATGCACGAAGACTTGGCCGCTCCGCTCCGCACTCAAAACCATCCCAAAAGGCCTCTCTAGTACCGCAACATCCGTGATTGTGTCCAAATGACCTGTCATGAGATTCTGTGCAGACATACGTATGATATCGTATCTGGAGGTCGGTCTCGTTATCCCCATTTTCCGTTTGGCAGAAGAATTGGGTGCGACCTTGTTCGACTCAAAAGTTCCCGTGCCAAGAGAAGTGTCCTGCGGCTTCTCTGAAAGTACCCTCGTGTCCATACTCAGCTGGCTGAATGTGTAAGAAGGCTTTTCGTCGGGTGTGCCGCCGCTGATGAGTCTACAGCCTTCGAGACGCTCGCAGTCCCAGAAGCGGACTTTGTTGTCTGGACCGCCGGTAATCGCGAAGGCGTGGGATGATTCGGGATCTTTTGTGGAAGGCTGCGAGGCAAAGACCGAACAACTTGTCAAATGCGGCAGGTTGCTATTCTGCTCCGGCTTGTTAGCATCCGTTCCAGCGACTCGGCTCAGCAGTCCTTCCGCCTTCTCATCTTCCATATTACGAAGCTCATAGTCTCGAGGATGTAGCCTTTCTTTGCCGTTGGGATGATCAGGCCGGTACAGCTCCAGACACACTGTCTTTTCCAAGTCCCATACTGTCACATCACCGGGCCCGGTACCACCCGTCATGCAAATTCGATTCCTACGCGAAGTCTTTCTGCCAGGTAGTAGCTGCAGCCGCGTTATGGCCGCCGGATTCGCAAAAGTCCATGATCGGATTCGGAGCTGAAAACGCATGTCCCACAGGTCAAGCACGCCATGTGATGTACCTAGTAGGAGCCAGTCGTGGCGTCGACTCATACAGAAAGATGTGGGTGCGCCGTGCTGTGCAGGATTGTGAAGATCGAAGAGGAGCGCCATGTACCTGAGGTCTAGAGCGAGGATACGGCCGAGATTTGTCACCATGACAAGAGTGCTCGCCATTTCTCCGCGATAATGCTCGGACCAGACAGCGTGTTCGCCAGAGCCGTCTGTTGTTGGTATTTTCCATTCACGAACTAGACGAAGCTTGCCATAGCGTGTTACGTTGTTGGACTCAGAGACCTCCACTTTCACCACGTGAACACTTCCATCAGATCCAGTACAGACGAAAGAATGTGTGGCCTCAACGAAGCAAAGGCTCGTTACACGTGTCTCAGCCGGAAGCCGGTACGTTTGACGAGAGCGGTGGGTGACATTCCTTTCGAGACGAGAGGAGTCCCACACTTTAACCGTCCCATCATCCGATCCAGTGAGGAAGAACACATGATCTGGAGCGGGTACAACTCGGCTTACTCTGGCGGTGTGTTCACCCAGCACGGCTGTCAATTGACCTTGAGGGCGCCATTGCGTAGATGCTGGTTGAGTGTTGTTGGTCGGTAATGCGCCACTGCAGGGCTGGACAAAGGGGCCAAAGTCGGCAGCGTCTATCGGGAAGTTATCCAAGTAGACAGCGTCCAGCAGCTTTAGCACAGTAGGATCGTTCCCGACGTAGTTGTGTACGGTACGTGAGCTAGCAGCTCTTACAGCGCCTCTCCGTCGTTCTGCAGTGTTTGGTACTGGTGAAGATGTTCGACTGAGAGACCGTGGAGCGTTAAGTTTTCCTGCAGCAGTCGCACCGTCCGTAGCCACAGCTGCTTCCGCCTTGCCTCGAAGGTCTGCTCCACCCAATAAGCCTGCGGCGTTGCCTCTCTGTCGCAAGGCGCGGTCAACGTCCTTTCCAAGAAGTCCAATGCCAGAGCTTGGCGACGACGACAAGCTGCCTGAGGTCTTGGTTCGGAGACCGGAAAGACGTCGTGACTGCGGTATGGGAATCTTAGGTCGGCTTGGACCATCGTGATCTGTCGTATCAGCACCACTCGCGATCGCTTCTGCATCCGCTGTGGCGTCTCTCGAGGGTCTTTCTTTGTTTGTCTTTGCAGCTTCTTCAATTGCCTCAGCAATAGTACGATTCTGACTCTCGACCCGCTGCTCATATGCTCGCACGTCGCTGTCAAAGATGACGGTTTGCGGTGTAATCTTCAACTTGGTCAGACTGACAATGTGATCGTAGAGTCCGTCGTCGCCGTGGTCATTATCCCGCTTTGATCGCTGAGCGGCACGCCACAAGTACTCTCTGAAAGCAAGGAGCTTCGTTTCGTCTTCGCGAGACATGCCAGCATTTCTCAAGCGACCAAGCCATTGCTCATCTTCATCAGTCTTTGGTACTCTACTCAGCGACTTCGATCCAAGGTCGGCCACAGATGAGTGCGGCGGCATCTGGCTCGTCGCGGTGTACGAAAGCTGTTTGGACTCCTTCGCCGCCTTCCAGAACACGCTCTTCTCCACTCTCCCTGCCCACTGCAGTGCGAGGTCTAACACTGCTCGTGGGATTGGCTTCTTCAATGCGTCTAAGAGCTCTGATTCGTCCAGAGTGCTCACGGGTACCTTTAGGTATGGCTGGATCAGCGGGGCGACGAGAATTCGGACATCGGCCACTGAAAGGTAAGTTGTGGCGGCAGATACGAAATGTGACGCCGCCTCCTTGATCCACACGTTCGGGTGCATTTCGAATCGAGCGACAGTATCGATCAATTCCCAGGTCTTCGGTCTCTGCAAGAGTCCGATCTCTGCCATTGATGCAAGTGATCTCAGTGCTTGCTCGACAACGAATTCTTGCGGATCCGTCAGAGCTTGCACCATCAGCGGTAAGATGAAGTCTTCCAAATTCGCGCCTCCGATATACACCGCAACACCGACGACTGTCTTGAAGAACGCACATTTAAGAAGCCAATCTGGGTCATTCATGTAGGTGTTCAAGTGACTTAGGATCACGTCTGCAGCCCTGGCCTCGCCAAAGAACACACAGAGGCTGGGCACAGAAGTCAGAAATGCACGCCGAACGGAGTTGTTGCCATCTGTAAGGAAGACCTTGGTCTGCCCTTCGAACTGTTCGAGTACCTCACACCGCGTGACATCGTACGCATCCTGGTTGGGGACGTCAGCGTCAATGTCATTCTCGGTGCCCCTTTCTGTCGATGGCAAGGAGCCCTCGGCTCTAAGCGCTTGCATCATGTCCAGAAAGCGAGAGGCGGTCTCAGCAAGGCTTGCTAAGCATGCTGCATAAGTGGCTCGAACAAGTGTGTTCTTGGTGAAACCGCTGCTCTTTACGAAGATCTGCAGCCTAGGAAAAATGTACTGGGTGAAGAGAAACGAGTTGACTGGTGAGACGACTGTGACCAGTGCGAGCAGTTGGGTCATCGTCCTCAATGCTGCAACAAGAACCATCTCATTGGCGTCGTCCAATAGAGGCATAACATAGGGCAATACCCTATCAAGTTTCGCTTCATCTGGAAGTCTCTCGGCAAAAGCGAGAAGCAGTTCGCACGCCCGAACTTTCGAGGATGCCCTCGCTGAGCTTCGTATTGAAGCTGTGATGACGTTGAGAAGTATGAATGTACCGTTATCGCTATCGGTTGTATGGGCCGCGTGAGCGATGTGTCGACTATTCGGCAAATCGACTGATAGAGGGAAGAGTCCTCGAAGATGTAGAGGCTTCACCTGTTCGTGAGAGCCAGCCATTTGGGTCTCTTGGTATCCGAGCGAAACTGAGAGCATCTCAAAGTCTTCGTAGATTCTGGCAATTCGTTCGTCCGACTCCCCGTTGTTCGTCTCACTTGGAGCGACCGACTTGCGGCCGGCAGAGGGATCTGTAATCTCCTGCATCAGGGTGTGGAAGTGGTTGTAAAAGTACAATGGAAAGGCTTTCCCTTTGTACTCATCCAGATAATCGCTAGCATGCCACCTTTCGGTCGGGTCAAGGCGGATCATGCTAGTAATCAATGACCGCACGTGCTCATCGTCCACTTTGTTCAGCAGAGCAACGGTCGGATCATACTCGCCCTTGCGAAATCGAAATAGCTGGCTCAGGGTGAAAGTTGGCGATTCCGTGAATAGCTCAGCAAGCACGCATCCCAAGCTAAAGATATCCATGTTCCACTGGACGACATTGCCTTCGCTTGGCTTTTGGCCTGTCGCCAGGAAACGCTCGGGAGCGAGATAGCACGTCCTGCGTGCGGAGCTATCGTAGTAGAAGGAGAAGTCGGCCGGATTGTCTTCAGGCAGATATACGGGTTTGAATGATGCGGCAAAATCGGTCAGATAGACCCATGCCCACGAAGTCACCATGACGTTCTCGGACTTGATATCGCCGTGAAAGACGCCCCGAGAGTGACAGTCTCGTAGCGCACAGAGCAACTGAAACGCGATCCATTTCTTTTCGATGTCTTCCAGGAAGGGCCGGATGCTGATGCGGTCGTAGAGTGACGAGTGAACAAACTGCCGTACCAGCACTCCTATCGTGCTCGTCTCCTTGATGCGCGCATATGGCAGGACGTTTGGGATACCACGGAGCTTCTGTCGCTCTGCTCGTAGAGGCTTCGAGTACCTGTCAAAGGTGACGTTTGGATTTGATTTCAGGCAGACCTTGGCCACCACGACACCATTCTGATGCCTGGCTCGGACCGTCCTCAGGAATCGAGCACCGCCCAATGCTCGCTCAAAGGTGAGGTCTGAGAGATCGGACGTCTCGATCGCGCTGGGTCCGGCGGGCAGTGCTATGGAAGAGTGCCCATGGCCCATGATGGGTGGTGGTGATGGCGATGTTGTTGTTGTTTTTGGTTCATGCCATGTGTGTTGTCGAAAGGGCCAGCGCTTGACTGGCAACAAGTCAGGTAAGGTATTGGTGGATGTTGGTGTTGGCGTTTGCTCCGGGCAATCGCAAGCCTATCACATGGCCTGAGGTCCCGTGACCGGCTCGGCTCTCGCCGCGAAGCCCTAATACCTTGATGCTCGTCTGGTCTCCCGCCTCCATCTCAACCTGCAACACCAACAGTCAACATGGTCACTACTGGTGACATGTATCATACCGCTCCAGAACCTTTCTCGCAGAGTTGACATGCCCATAACACGCCGCCGTCGTCGGCCTCTTTCGGACTCTCGTACGTACGAACTCGATGAGGCACGGCATGAGTGGAACCGCGCGCAAAGGAACGGCAATAAAGCATCACGCTCCTCACCGGGACACCCTAGCCATGAGGCAGGGGAGCAATCATCTCACCAACCGTGGATCCCCTCCCATCGAGTCACCAGTAATAATGGCACGGTGCGGATGCTCTATTATCAAACGCAACGCAGCACGTGTAGGTCTCCATCTCCACCTCCCTCCTCGCGCTCTCCCTCCCCATCATCATCCGGGCCAGCAACATGATGGTCCGCCTCCAACGCAAATCCTCCCAAAAGAGCTCCCACTCCGATGCATCCACCACTCAAAGCAGCCCCGTCGCCAGCGCGAGTAATCTCCCGCCCGGCTTCATAGCACCCACAAAACCACCCTACCTCTGGCGCGTAACGGACAGCACCTCCCTCACCCGCATCGACCCTTCCACTGGCTCCTTCGACACCGGCGTGTGCCTCTGGGGCCACTGGTCCTACTGGACCTCCATCATCAACCCTCGCAACCTCAACGCTCAAATCGACTGGTCCCACAAATTCACACCTTCCGGCCACGGCGATCCTCCCTTGTTCATCTCCGCTACCGACGATTCGCAGTGGGCGTACGAAGAATTCGATCGCAGGATGCAGAGGAGACGGAGGCATGTGCGGATCAACGTGATAGATACGGCGGCTCTTGAGTGGGAGCTTGCATTTCTTGAAAATGGGTCCAGGTTGCCAGTTCTGAGAGATAAAGAGACTGGGTGCACGTTCTTCTCGTCAGAGGGCGCGAGCGGTGCATTGGGTTGGGTGAATCCATATCGGAGTCGCAGTGAGTGGTTTGCTATCAAGTGTATCCCAGCAAAAGTTATACTGCCAGAAGCATGGGGAGACGATTAGAGGAATGGGAAAAGAGTTGAGATAACCTCTCCGAGACTGTGTTTGGACCCATGACAGCTGGTCTGTCCGGTGCTTCTTCATTTCACCAAGAGCTTCCTGTAAAGCGAATCTGCTGCCTTACTTAATTCTCTGAGAAGCTACTCTCACCAATGCGTATCATGTGCCAATGTTTCTTCTGTCGTTTCGCGCGACATCAGAGCCATGATATCCACTGCCCTGCGCCAAAACGCTCTTTGTCGCATTCGGCCCTTCCATCGTAGAAGATGGGAAAGGGTAAGGTATGGCACACTTTAGTTCTTACCACTGCTCGGGCCGAACTCGCCCTTCTGCTTGAGAATCTCAGCCTCTTCCTCCTTCAATTCCTGGTCGATCTTGGCGCCCTTGGACGGTGCGTTGCCGTGGTTTATCGCCTTATCGCAATCATCAGCAAAAAGTGTCTCCCAAATTCATCATCTTCTCTCATATGCAAGATATAATCATACGTACCGGCAGAGTGGAATCCTTCTTCGACTCCAGGGCCTCCTGGCTCTTCTCGCCTTCCGATTCGCCCAGACGCTTCTCCTCACGCCCGAGCTTGTTGGCGATGGAACGCTCGTCCTTGCTGTCGAGGGCTTTGTGCGAGTTGGGTTGGCCTTCCTTGTAGCGCTCGCGCTCGTTGATCTCGGACTGCGGGACGTTGCGCTTTGGGTCCATGTCATCAGTACAGGAACAGCTGCAATGAATAGATGGGGGCATCCATACCTGGTCCCCGGCTTCGTAGACACTGCTGTTCCCGACGTTGCTGGTTCCAGACATCTTGTTTTCCTTTTGTTCTTGGACAGGTTTGTACTGTTGTTTGTTGTCTTTTACTGTTGTAGAGTTCCAACCATTCGTGTGCGAGGTGACGTGACTGATGTCGGATCGAATAAGTGTGTGTTTTGTTGCGAGGCACACGACATTTGGTGGGCTTAAATCTCACATGCAAGCTCTGAACCAATGACCTCATACAGGCGTCATATGCAGGTGCGTGCTGCTTGTTTCACCTTCACACTATGAGAATCATGACCCTTGCTGTGTAAGCGGGTGCCAACAAGGTCTGAGTTGTCACAAACAACAGCATCGTCAAAGAAATTGGCAACTAACAAAATTTCGGAGCGTCCGCACTCGAGCTCTTCCATTCAACCTTTTCTGGCATACGACAATTTAATTTCAAATGGGTATCTTGTAGCTCTTTTCCGTAACGCCTCGCTATCTATGTGAAGACACACTGCCCTCCATTACATCCCACAATCTATCCATGCTGTATGGTACAAGCGCTCATTCCAACTCAATCGTTGCCGGAGGCTTGCTAGTCACCTCGTAGACGACGCGAGCAACGCCCGAGACCTCATTGGCAATCTTGTCGGCCACCTTCGTAAACCAGCTCATTGGGGCATCCTGGAATACGTTCGCCGTCATGAAGTCGGTTGTCTGAACTGCTCTCAAGTGAATGATCTCCCCGTGAAGTCGCTGATCCCCGACGACTGCAACAGACTTCACCCCGAGCACCGCAGCGTAAGCTTGCGAGATGGTGCGATAGAATCCCGCTGCCTTGATCTCTGCAATCCAGATCTTGTCGGCCTCTTGAGCGATTCTGATGCGGTCTGCAGTAACTTCGCCGATGATCCGAATGGCGAGACCAGGACCTGGGAACGGATGCCTCCAGACAAGATCGTCCGGAATTCCCATCTCGGTTCCAAGTGCGCGGACCTCGTCCTTGAACAGCTCACGAAGAGGCTCGATCAACTTGAGGTCCATCTTCTCTGGTAAGCCCCCGACATTGTGGTGGGTTTTGATTGTGGCACTCGGTCCCTTGAACGAGATGGATTCGATCACATCTGGATACAAGGTACCTTGTAAGAACCACTCGATCTTGCCCGCTCTCTCGGTACTTTCAGCCGCCGCAGCAATCTCCTTGGCCTTCTCCTGAAAGATGTCGATGAACGTGTTGCCGATGATCTTTCGTTTAGTCTCCGGCTCGCTAACTCCTTTCAGACGGCCGAGGAAGAGCTGGCTTGCGTCGATAACGGTCAAGTTGACGCCGAGACCTTCCTTCAAAGTCTTCTCGACCTCTTTGGCCTCATTCATGCGCAGTGTGCCGTTGTCAACCATGACTGCGTGGAATCGGTCACCGATGGCCTGCTGCATGAGCTTGGCAGCGACGGTCGAGTCGACACCGCCACTGACAGCACCAATGACCTGGCCTTTCTCTCCCACAAGCCCTCTGATTCTTGAGATCTCCTTGTCTACGAATGCCCCCATCGTCCAATCCTGCTTCGCGTTGCAAATAGTCACAGCAAAGTTCTTGATCACCTGGGTTCCCCTCGGCGTGTGGGTGACCTCGGGATGGAATTGAATACCATAGTAAGGTTTTGTCTCATGGGCAATGCCGGCGAATGGGGCATTGGGAGTTGTGGCTATGGTGAGGAAGTTGTCTGGCATCTTGGAGAGCTTGTCACCATGAGACATCCATACCTCCAGTCCAGCATCTAAGCCGTCGAACAAGTGGTCTATGTGAGCATGGTGCCGAGAGACTTGCAGTGTTGTCTTCCCATATTCTCTCTTCTCTCCCGCCGCCACATTCTTTCCAAAATGCCATGCCATCTCTTGCAGTCCGTAGCATATGCCCAGAATGGGGACATCGAGGTCGAAGACTGCAGGGTCGACGTGTGGTGCGTCTGATTGATAGACAGAATATGGTCCTCCTGACAAGATGACGCCTTTGGGTTTCCAAGACAGTTCTGCCAATTTCTGGGTGCAAGGGAGCATCTCGGAGTAGATGTTGAGTTCTCTGAGTCGACGCGTGATCAAATGGGTATATTGAGAGCCGAAGTCGAGCACCAGAATGGTGTCGAAGATGGTATGAGGCGGCGGGACGCCATTGACCTCGCCGCTGGAGCCCATTGTTGTCCTGATGTATGGGTAGTGATGTATGGTATTGCAGTGAAGGATAGTAGAACAGGGCCTCGAGATGCAGGATGCGAAAAAATCACAGCGCGTGCCTGACCACGGCCGACAAGCCCCGCACTAGGCTGACAAAGGCTAGCGCGGAGCCGCTTGCCCCCTCCATATCCATGATACCACAGATATAGGTACCCATCTCCCACCACAAAACACACGCGTTGCAGACGCCAAGCAGTACTGTAACATTATTATTATCTCATCATGACCATCTCCGGTCCGTGGAGGGGAGGATGTGGCAGCCATGGCTCAGCGTTGGAACATTGGTGCCTGCGCCGTCAAAGGCCGACGGCGCTGGCAAGGAGGGGGATGATGGCTTGGATGGAGGGTGTTGCATGGATGGCGCGGTGGATGTGAAGGTGAAAGCGCCCGGTTTCGTCATGTGTGCAGGTGGAGGCGTGGACAGAGTTCCGGCAAGGACTGACGGTGCCGAGAGGAGAGTGCAGTAGTAATTAGTAGTCAGCGAGACGCCGCTGCCGCTGCCGCTGCCGCTGTGGAGATTGATTAATTATTCGGCTTTGGCATGTGAAGCCGCGTTACACCACTGCACTCCCGCCGTGTGTTCAATAACTGTACCTTCTCCATACCGTGACACCATACCTCTCCTGATATACCACCAAATACCACATTCTCCCGCCGTCTTTCGCCCCGCACCGCATCGCATCACATCGCCGGGATAGCGCCATCATGGCGGACACCAAGCACCTCGATCAAGCCAGACTCAAGGCCTTTGAGCATGCCGCGGCGGGCCACGACGGCGTCATGTCCGACGAATCGGGCGAGATGATCATCAAGCCATGCACGCAGTCCGAGATCGACTTCTACCAAGAGAGTCTGGCCGAGCATCCCAAATTCTACGAGCTCATGCCCACTTTCATGGGCACACTCCAGCTCGGCGCGCCCGCACATGTCCCTGACATCACTGCTCCGTCGGAACCCGATGTCTCCCCGGAACACAAGGACAAGACTCTCATCCACGGCCAGAAGCTCGCCACCGAGACTGCGATTGTGCTGGAGAATCTCGAGCATGGCTTTCGAAGGCCCAATGTCCTCGATCTCAAGCTCGGCGCGCGCTTGTACGCCGATGACACCAAGGCGGAAAAGGCCGAGCGGCTCGACAAGGTGGCGGCTGAAACGACCAGTGGCTCGCTCCACTTCCGCATCGCCGGCATGAAGGTCTGGAATGGCAAAGATTTCGACATTTACGACAAATTCTACGGCCGCAAGTTCAATCGAGATAACGTCAAGGACGGCTTTGCCACCTTCTTCAGCAGTCTTGGCGCAGCTGCCACTCTAGACGAGGCGAGACAGCTGCTCGAGACCATCCTTGCCGAAATCACAAAGGCCCGCCATAGCTTGGAGAGGTCGGAATCGCGCATGTACAGTGCTAGCATCCTGATTGTGTACGAGGGAGACAGTGACGCGCTAGACGAGATCTGGGGACATCCGCCCAAGACGCCACGGGTCGATGAGCGAGCACCGACGACGTTTGAGATCAAGAAGAGCGAAGAGGACGAGGAAGAAGATGAGGAGGCGCCACCGGTCACGTACAGAGTCAAGATGATTGACTTTGCCCATGCAGCCTGGACTCCCGGGAGAGGCCGAGACGAGAACGTGGTCAAGGGTTTGAAGAACATTGAGGATCAGATGGACCTGGTGATTGCACGATTCGAGTAACGCTTGCAGTGGAGAGGGTATGAGAAATGAAATCAAACATCTTCTGCGAGAGCTGTCTGTCTATGAGATGGCCTGCAGGCGTGGCGAACGAGAAATGTCCCAGAGGTTGATACCCTTCCTAGAAAGCAGGAGGAAGCATGGACTGAAGTAGCTCCGCAGAATCGAAGCAGTCGGCCATCTCTCTGTTCCGCAAATAGCATTTCCATGCCGTCCGGTTTGCATACAGCGGGCATTGAGTTCCGAGTGCGGAGATGCTGATCACTGCGCCTCCACCTTGAAGGTCACAAAGTTACTACCAACTTCACTCCCTCCAGCACTGCGTTGCGATCGGTGTCATTCCCCTTCCCATCAGGCACTGTGATGAGAGGTAGCTTGTTCTATGCTTGAACGGATCTCTACTTGAACTTGGAGATGTTCGCTATGCCCTGTGCGAGACAAGCCTGGAAAGCATTACCACCTGCTTCTGTTTTGACTCGTACTCTGCCAAGTTGCTGCCGACCATCCTCTCCCGCCCAATACTTGCAGTCAACATATCTAATGAGATCCCTTGCGTCTACTCGGGCCCTCCGCACCTCTACTTCACCATCAAACGCCCCCAATCTGCCCCTGTCCGGCATCCTCGTCGTCTCCCTAGAACAAGCCATCGCAGCCCCCTTCTGCACCCGCCAACTCGCAGACTTCGGAGCCCGCGTCATCAAGATTGAACGCCCCGTTTCGGGAGATTTTAACCGCCACCACGATGACCGCGTCAGAGGACTCTGCAGCCATTTCGTCTGGACGAACCGGAGTAAAGAATCTCTTGCCCTGGACCTGAAGAATGAACGGGATCTAGAGGCCCTGAAGACGATTGTGCGGAAGGCCGATGTATTGGTCCAGAACCTCGCGCCCGGGTCGACGGAGAGGATAGGATTAGGGCATGAGAGATTGAGGGAAATGAACGAGAGACTCATCGTCTGTGAGATCTCCGGCTATGGATCGAGTGGTCCCTACAAGAAGAAGAAAGCCTACGATCTCCTCATTCAAGCTGAGTCGGGATTTCTCTCCATCACGGGCTCTTCTCCGAACCTGCCTGCAAAGTCGGGAATTTCTATCGCGGACATAGCAGCGGGCACGACGGCTTTTAACAACATCCTCGCAGCTATCATCCAGAGAGGCAAGACGGGCAAAGGGTGTAGGCTGGATGTGTCCATGTTGGAGAGTATGGCGGAATGGATGTCATTCCCCATGTATTATGCTTTTGAAGGACAAGACGCGCCGAAGATAAGTGGGGCGGAACATGCTAGTATCTATCCGTATGGACCGTTTGAGTGTAAGGATGGGCAGGTCATGTTGGGGATGCAGAATGAGAGGGAGTGGAAGTCTTTTGTGACAGAAGTATTGAAGAGGGAGGAGTTGTTGGAGGATGAGAGGTTTCGGAGTACGTCGCTCAGGTCGCAGAATCGTAAGGAATTGAGAGGGATTATTGAGGGGGTTTTTGATGCTTTCTCTGCAGATGAGGTGATTGCGAAGTTGGAAAGCGCCGGGATCGCTAATGCGAGGGTGAGGGATATGGCTGGGCTTTGGGCGCATCCGCAGCTGCAGGCGAGGGATCGTTGGACGGAGGTGGAGACGGAGAATGGAATGATACCGGCGCTGAAGCCAGCCGGTGCAGCGGAGGGGATGGAGGTGAGGACAGATGCGATACCGAGTGTGGGAGAGCATAGCGAGGCGATATTGCGGGAGTTTGGGATCGAGCGCTAGAGTCCAGAGATGTTGTGTCTCAGGGTATAGTGCAGCGTTTGGACACGGCGGAACAGCGGAACGTTATCCCGACGAGTGCTGCCGCTGAATTGTCGATGTTGATGTCGATTTTAATATTGATATTGATGATGATGTCGATGTCGTTGTTGATGAAGCTGTTGTGGTTTTCGTGGAGATGGAAGATTCCGGTTGTCTCATCGGAACAGACCACTGCGCTAGTCCATATTGAGCTTAGAGTCAGTCTCCGGATTGAGCTGAGTCTGGTATATCTCCAAACACGCATATTGGCATATATTCCTCTCTACGTCCACTGACATCCAACACCGCGCATTCACCATCCATCGACAACATGTCTCTCCCAGGTCTCTCTCTTCCCGGCTTGAGTGCCACACCGTCTTCGGCAACACCAGTGGCAGGCGCTCCAGCAGCAGCAGCAGCAGCAGCATCACAAGCGCCGAGAACTGAGACCCTGCAGCCGCAGACAGAATGGCGATTCGAGGTCGCATTTTCCCAGAGATACACCGTCAAATTGGAAAGCGGAAACGCAGAGATGTTCGGAGTTGAGCTGGCGCCCAAGCAGACGTACACCTTCTCCGGCTACAAGGGCGCAATCTTCACATGGCAGGGATGCCAGCTTGAAATCACTGGAAGTGCAGAGAGCGAGTACGCGGGCGAGGAGACCGAGTACGCGGTCGAATGGCTCAATGTCCACGGTATGCTTGGCGCACGCAGAGATCAGAGCAATGGCGATGGACCTCGAGTGCTGGTGGTGGGGCCCGACTTTGTGGGAAAGAGCAGTCTCGTGCGGAGTCTGGCATCATGGGGCGTTCGCAACGGGCATGCTCCTACAGTCTTGAATCTGGACCCTCGAGAAGGTCTGCTCGCCCCGGCAGCCTCACTCACTGTCGTCACGTGCGATTCTCAGATGGACGTGGACACTGGCCTGGGCATCGGTCCCATGTCAGGTCCCACGGTTACTCCCGTCCGCATCCCATTGATCTATTCCTTCCCGTTCGCATCGCCCACCGAGAAGCCAGAGGTCTTCAAGCATGTCACAACCAGAATGGCTGTTAGTGTCATGAGCAAGCTCGAAGAGCGTCCAGCGGCGAAGCGAAGCGGACTGATCATTGACACTCCCGGTTCCCTCAACGACCCGAAGAGCAATTACGATTTGATCTCACACTTGGTCTCGGAGTTCAGCATCAACCTGGTACTCACCATTGGGTCCGAGCGACTCTTCAGTGATTTGAGTCGCAGATACAACGCATCCAAAAGCCCAGAAGACCCTGTCGAGGTTCTACGCATTGCCAAGCCAGGCGGAGCTGTAGAGCGAGACGCCGCTTTCATGAGACTACTGCGAGCCCAGCAAATTCGCCAATACTTCTATGGGACTTCAAAGGAATCTCTGCACCCACATTCGCACTGGATCGCATTCAACGAGATGGATATCTTCCGTGCAAAGTCTGCGTCGGTGGAGGACAGCTCCTTCGGACCTGGTGGAGATGACGATGATGACTACGATGTTCCGTACGCCAACAAGCCAAACAGTAGCGCAACGTTTGAGAGAATTACTCCCACAGCGGCGATGACGGGTGGTCTGGTGGCGATAAAGTTTGCCGAAGGAAGTGACAGCGAGCAGGCGATCCGGGGCAGTCCAGTCAAGGGGTTTCTTTCAGTGGCAGAGGTGGATGAGACAAAGAAGCGAGTACGATTCCTTTCGCCGCATCCGCAGCGATGGGGCAAGAAAGCGTTAGTTTGGGGCCACGGCTGGCCAGAAGTAGTCGCAGACCTGACTTCGTAAGAGAAGGCTTCAGGACCTCGAGATGAGCCAAGATGACTGCCAAGAAGGAATTTGACAGTCTCGAACCACAGCACGAAGTTGATTCCTTGCTGGCACACGATCCTCTTCGAATTCTCATGACTACTTGATCCTCGGAGGACATCGCTCGCGAAGTCTCTTCCCGTATCTTAACGCTATCCGGGCGATTGGAGCAGAGGCGAGGGCAAGGAGTGCGAGCGAGGAGTCGTCCCGATGAGATTTCAGTGGACATGTCGAGCAAATTTTCAATTATCAGACTTACCACCCCTAACCCGGTGAATGGTAGAGGCAAGGCCCAGCGAGCGGCGAGAATGCGCCTGCACAAGACCGTAGAGTGGTGACTGCAGCGGCCATGGATGCTGCATACATTGGAAAAGCGTCAACAAGATACGACTGAGCTGTCAAAAAAAGAGGAAAAATCCCCCGACGAGCAATCCACAACCGACCCAGGTGGTGCCGATGAGAGGGACAGTTCAGCGTAGCTTTGCTTCCGCCGCCTAACCGTATCAGCAAAGGCCAATCGCTACAAGCAGCGAACCAGGTATTGGGGCCAGAAGACCGTACTCAGCTTCGCAGGCACCAGTGGGCGAGAAACTTTTGGCAATACGGTCTGAGATTGCACCCAAGAACAAGCAACCCGATTCCACATCCCGTACGAGAGCCAACGTATGTCAAGTACAGATTGATACGAGAAAGCTGCTAATGGACTTATTCTCAGTCATTCACAGCATGTACTAGTCTAACAGTACTAGTCTGACAGCGAGCCCCCGCTTCATGCCCTACTCCTCTTCCCATTGAAGCTCCAAACAACCCTCTGCAGATTCGTAGTCTCGTAATCGTTGCAAGACCTGGTCCGCGGAACTTGCCTGGCTCATGATGCTGGAATTGCCCTTTGCTACAAAGCCGGCTCCAACAGCCTTCTTCACCCACTGCAGCAAGCCGTCCCAGTAGCCGTCGACGTTCAACAGCACCACGGGCTTGTCGTGGATACCGCGTTGATTCCATGTTACAATCTGGTTGGAAGTTGGATGATTAGCATTCGGATGTAAATCGTGCGCGGCTGCGATGGGTAGTAGATGCCCTCACCTCCATCAACTCCTCCAGCGTTCCATAGCCACCACTGAGCGCGACAAACCCACTCCCGGGGCCACCAGCCAAGACTTCATCGACCATGGTCCTTTTCCGTGTATGCATATCCTGCACCACGGTGGTCCTGCCGAATCGACTCTCGTCGGATTTCTTCTGTGCTTCCATACCATTCTCGGCGGAGTCTTGGTCGTTGGTGTACTTTCTCTCGAACGCCATGAGGGCTTTGGGAATGATTCCGTGTGCTGCTTCGGGGCCGGAGAGCCGGACGAGTTCGGATGCGACCTCACCCATGAGACCGGATGTGCCTCCGCCGAAGGCGAGTTTGATGCCATGCTTGTGGAAGGCTTGAGCGAGAGAGCGGGCCTGAGAGAGGTGAATGGGGTCGTTGCCGGCCGAGGTGCCGCAGCTGAGGAGTGTTAGTCGAGCTGGATTGTTCCATGTTGGAAGGGAAGAAATTACAAGACGCAGACCACGGGTGGGTTCTGTCGTTCTACACTTCCCATGGCGGAGGTTTCTCAGCGAAAATGCTTTCTTGTGTTCTTGTTTTTCTTTTCCTCTTCTTGTCAGTGCAACTCTTGGCCAAGGGACACAGACAAGACCGCAGACTCCAGACCGACTCGAGACCAAGGACTTGTGGAAGATGGCAATGGATGAAGATGTTGTCTGGACCTTGCATTCGAGATACCTGTCTGTGGCTCCAAGTCCCGTTGACTTCCGAAGGGTCTCGGATCCGCCCCACGAGGCTCGTTGGAGGGTGCCACGAAAGGCATTGCATCGGCGCCGACACGAAGCATGCCGCCAAGCACCCAATTGCGAGTGGCTGGGAATTGCGTGAGGTCTCATTAGACTTCAAGCAGCGCGATGCAATGTAGCTCCCGACCGTAAAGACCATCCTATGATACCAACCTTACCGTGGAGAAGGTGAGGCGTAAGCTGCCGCGCTAATCCTTCCTGAGGCAATCCAGACAATGCAGATCGCAACAATGACGGAGCAGAATGGCCAGTGCAGGCTACAGGTACACGACATGTACATGACATGTACGAAAGGGGAAAGAAATTGGGTAATCCGATGTGAACAGCGCGTCGAGGCTCTAAGGGGAGACTTAGCATCATGCTGCTCTTAGCATTGCGCTGTGCATATGCTTAGCACTGCTCTATGCATATGCTCTGTGCATCATGCTGCTCGTTCTGTCGGTGGATCTGGGAATGGGAATGGGAATGGGAATGCGCGGTGCAAGCACGATGGAGACCCTTCCGTGGATTGTGTCTCGTACCTCATTGACACCACCCGCACCTGACCTCGCCTTCTCTCTCCCATCCGTTGTTCAGAAGACCAACTCGACCGACAAACGCTCTCGCAACCTGCGCCCGCTCCGTAGTCGTCTCGCTGCCTCTCCCGCCTGCTAACTCACCTGGTCACTCGCGGAGCCTTCCGATGCACGTCCGCATAGACATCGACAACGACGTTTGAACTCTACCGGGGTATCATTCTCCGCCATGTCCCTCTCACACTCCGGTTCGCGGCAAGCGTCTGCCACGGAAGATGCAGCAAAGAGAGCACCATCCTCCAAATCTCGCTCGTCATCCAGCGACGATCCGGAGCGCCAACCTGTCCTGTCCATACATGAGCACGACGAGGAGAAGGGCGACGAGGACCAAGAGGCTGCCTCGCCCGGTGTCTCCCTCGACGAAGAAGGCAATACCTATCCAGAAGGAGGTCTCAAAGCTTGGCTCGTGGTCGCAGGCGGCTTCAGCGGCATGTTCGCATGCTTCGGCACGATGAACACCGCCGGTACCTACCAAGCCTATCTCGCCACCCATCAGCTCTCCTCGTACTCAGACTCGACCATCGGATGGATCTTCTCCCTGTACACCTTCTTGGCTTTCGGTGCTGGCGTACAGGTCGGACCGCTCTTCGACAAGTACGGCCCAATCTGGCTGACCGTCACGGGTGCCATCTGCACTTTGCTCAGCATCTTCCTGCTCGGCGTCTGCACCGCATACTGGCACTTCATCATCGTCTTTGGCATACTTGGCGGCCTCGGCAATGCCTTCATCTTCACCACCTCGGTCGCCGCTGTCGGCCACTTCTTCTTCAAGGGCCGAGGAAACGCGATTGGCATTGCCTGCTGTGGTGGAGCGCTCGGGTAAGTCATGGCATGCGTGCCTGGTCAGCTCCCGCGCGTTTTGCTGACCATCTGCTATGAGTATAGCGGCGTCATCTGTCCACTCATGCTGCAGTCACTCTTCCCCAAGGTGGGCTGGGCATGGGCAACGCGAACCCAGGGTTTCATCTACATCTTCTGCTTCCTACTCGCGATTGGTCTGGTCCGCTCACGCCTCCCACCGCGTCCGGGTGGAAGCGCTCTCCCAGATGTTAGGGTCTTCCGGCATGTTCCATTCACTCTGGTCACATGCGGCGCATTCTTCCTGGAACTCGGTCTGTTCATCCCCATCGGCTACATTACCTTGTACGCCCAAGCCGCACATGGAGCCTTCTCGCCCGCATTCGCGTACCAGCTTCTGGCCATCTTCAACGCGGGATCGTTCCTGGGGCGGTGGGCTCCCGGGTACCTTGCAGACAAGCTCGGGCGGTTCAACACGCAGATCACCGCGGTCTTTCTATGCGCCGTGTCGGCTCCGTGTCTCTGGCTACCCGCGACTGTCCTGGTGGACAATTCGGGCAGCGGATCGAGCAAGGCCATTCTTGGACTCACCATCACATTCGTGTCATTGATGGGCTTTGCTTCGGGGAGCAATATTTCTTTGACGCCGGTCTGCGTCGGCATGCTCTGTCCTACAAAGGAGTATGGCCGCTATGTCGCGACAGGCTTCCATCGGATGCCTCATTGGGCTGCCCATAGCAGGGGCTCTCGTGTCGGTCTGTGGAGGATCGTACTGGGGCGTCGCGCTCGTCACTGGGCTGAGCTACATCTGTGGTCTGGCATGCTTTTCTACTGTCCGCGTCATGAAGGCTGGATGGAGAGTGACGGGATTGTACTGATGTTAATGGTGATGAAGGGAAAGCTATGAAAGTCGCTGTACATGTCGACGATATCGGCTGCAAAGCTGTGGATAATGCGCGATATCGTATGGCGCTGTCTCTAGTTAGCGTACATGATATCGACCCCTCCATCCTCTTCTGCTTCACAACAGAATATTGAAAGCGCCATCAGAGACCATTCGACGGCAAAATTCTGTCCTGGACAGGGTCGCTCCGATAGGTCATCTCGCTGAGCGCGACCGCAGAATGACAAGGCAGCAGCAGGACACGTCTGCAAAGAGCCCAGGGCCAAGCAAATGGTGCTGGCTTCATGCACGCCGACAGCTCCGCCACCGACAATCGCCATCTCTCTCGATCGTCCGAGTTGCCTTTGATGGTCTTGGAGGTAGTGTACGGAGGAGATATCGTCGTCGTATGGCATCATCGACGGCGCGGCCAGACGAGTACGTACCCGTAGCCAGGACCAAGTAATCAAAGGGCACTTTGTTGGAGCCATTCCATTCCCGGTCCATCTGAACATGGTCCGGATGCACGTGTGTCGCTCGTGCCGCTATTGTACCGTGTCGTTGGGTAGAAGGGAGGACTCCATGGTATGGGACGAACGCCTTTTGTTCATGGCCGCCCAGGATAGCAAAGCGAGGCTGCAATTCATGCATGTCAGTATCACTCCTCGCGGAAGTGAATCATCGAGCGCCGCACGAATGTGAAGATGTGGTTGAAGTGACTATGCGGTTCGACCAGCAGGACCCGATGTGTTGCGGGAAGAATGCTCATCAGCTCTCGTGCTGTGTTCTGATATGTGAAGATTATTAGCCGGGTATCGAGGAGGTCCTTTCGGGTGGCTACGCTTACGAGGCCTACGTATGAACCACCCACCACCACGAGATTCTTCCACGCAGAGACCATGATAATGATGACCAGAGACAGTACAAAGGAGGCGTTGCAACATAACAGATCGATCTGACAAGGTCCGCAACGCTCATCTTAATTGATATGTACGTTATCCCCGTGCCGCCTTCGGAGATACCACCCTCGCGAGATCGGTTATGTGGGCGTCGACATCAGTCAGCCACGGAATTATACCATGATTGTTGGTTGATGCCTGGGAGTAGATATTGAATGTTAGTGCAGCTAACGTTAGTATGGCTAATCTAGTACTAAATCAAAGTTGATGATCGGCATCGCCGTGAATGACCGTGAATGGCATCCTTCCACGAAAGTACTGCGTCTTGGCACCTCGAGAAGTCGTCTCGACGCCTGCTGCCACTTCTACCAACATCCTCGCCAAGACGACAAACTCTTGCTGCTGTGCGAAGACGCTGCATCCGACTTCACTCGATGGTCCAGATGGATCTCACTGGGAAGAGACAGGCCGGTGAAGGAACTCTTCTGTTCATGTGCTACGGCTGCAATCTGCACTTCTCCAAGCTCTTCCCGCAGCGCTTTTCAGCCTTCTCGATTCGGCACATTTGAGCACAGATCTTACAATGTGGACGGAATATTATGAAGGTCCGGACTTAACAACGTGGACTGTATCATAAGCGGCACAGGAGCGGCCGCGGCGTAGCGTGGTGAAGCACCATCGAGGCGCCCGAAAAGTATGTCGTTGTTCAGCGTGAGTACTCCCCGGTAATCGAGGTGAGATCGGACCACGAACAAGCTATGTTAAAGCTCGGCAACATGGCGAAAGCATGGGAAGGATAACCTCGAAGCAGTCTCGCAAAAGATCTTCGGGACTTTCTGGAGAGCCTTTCGTCTGCATGTGCAGAGACCTCCTCGAGCGAGCAAATCCACATATACCGCCGCCCACACATTGGATGTGCTTATTTCATGGGAAACACCGAGATAAGGGGGGTATATCTCGATCCTTCTCTGCGCGCAAGACGGCGACTGGAATTTGAGAGCAATCTCTTGCCTCCTCGTGACAGAGTTGCTGTACCGTCAACTATAGCTGCTGGCAGCCATCCTACCACCGCTGCCGATCCAAGTCAATGGTGCGGGTTGCCTGGGCTAAGGACATTTCCAAGAGAGAGAGAGAGAGAGAGAGAGAGAGAGAGAGAGAGAGAGAGGACCAGCCAATGAGCACAGGCCACCGGAACGCCATCCGGAGAAATCCTCGTCCGCGCACATGCGACCTCCTTCCATCTTCGACATGGTCACGCGACACCCAAGTGAATGACTAAGTGAACGACTACCCAAAATGTTCGCAATCCGTCCAACGCCAGGAAAAGGTCTCGGAGTTTTCTCCACCACCAATATCACTCGTGGAAGTCGGATTCTCTCTGAGAAAGCTCTTATCTCCGTTCAGGGCGATTCGCAATGGTCTATCCTCTCCGCCGCGGACGGTCTGGACTCATCGGCTCGATTGAGATTCCTCGATCTGTCAATTAACCAAGCAAAGCACGTATCCTGGCTGAGTCGACTACACACCCTATGGATCAGCAAGTCGAAGCCGCTCTCTTTCTCTGCCAATCACACAATACTGAATGTATTTCGGAACAACAACTTCGACATTGGGAAAGAAATCAGAGCACTATTTCCGCAGGTAGCACGCCTCAACCATGCTTGTGTGCCCAATGCGCAGGGTAATTTCCATCCGAGTCTCAACGAGTTCACCATCCATGCAACGAAGGACATTGCCACGAACGAGGAAATAACAATCTCCTACTTGAAACACCAATTCGCGTCAAGAGAAGTCAGGCAACAGCATCTGAGCTCAGGCTATGGCTTCCACTGCGATTGTCCTGCATGCAAGTCAGATTCGCCACTTGGTCAAGCTAGCGAAGCCCGCAGAGAAAACATTCGTCAACGACTGGAGGCTTTCGCAACAAAAGCATCGTCTTCGGAAGAGAACTCCGAAGGTGAGCTTGTGGTCTTGAAACACTTGCTCGTGGCATACGAGGAAGAAGGTATTCGAGGGCGAGAAGTTGCCACGATGTATATGGCTGCAGCAAAGTTGGCATTGGCCCAAAGCGATAAGTGCACCGCTCGAGAGCTGGCCAAGAGAGGATTGGAACTGGAAGAAGAAGCGATTGGGACCGATAGCCCAATCTATCAAGACACTTTGAAAGAAGCAAGTTCCATGATGTCCTGATGAGGCTCAAGCCCATTCCAATGCTCTAGAGCGGCTGGCTCCTCCTCCTGGCTTCGACTCTGCACGCAACATTCGTCAAACGGAGATACTTTTCAGTCTCAAGAGAATCTGCCAAGACTGGTCAGTTGTGCACGGAACAATCCAGCTACGACCTGAACTACCTTCTCAATATAGCGGACACCCACGGCTCCGCCACCAGCGACGTCGAATTCGCCTTCATCCGCAATGTCCATATTGTCCTCGTTCAGGCACTTCAGGCAATTCATCGCGACCTCGACGTACAGGTCTCCCGTCAATTTCTCGGTTGAAAGCCCAAGCAGGGCCGCGTGGGGAGTTTTGACTCTGCCATTGGGATAGTAGAGCAGGAACGAGTCCCACAGCCCGATCTCGAGCATGCAGACGTCTAGGCTGTATATTTCGTGCTGCATGGAATATTTCTCTTCGGGCGAGAGTCCTTGCCGGGCATATTGGCGATACAAATTTTTATTCCAGTCCATGTCGCCTCGGCGGCACATGATACCCTCGGCGCTACGCACCTGCTCGAAGCCAATGAGAAAGAACAGGCCCAGGTCGCGTCTCCAAATCCCAGCTGTTATGAGCGAATTGAACATCGCATTCTCTCCGTACAGCAAGCTTTTGACAATGGGCTTGGGGGACCGGGACAGTGCGGCTGTGGGACTGGAATCCCGACACCAGTGCATAATGGGGGCGGCAGCGACCCCAGCGCGAATCTGCAGTGAAATCGTTACGGGAGCCTGCTCCGTCGTTTGAAAATTTAGTGCCTTATTGAGATACGGCAATAAGAGCGTTTTGGCCACTGCAGATGGTGAAGTCGTCGTCAGGACAGCGTCCCTGATCCTAAGATTCTGTTTGTGCGAGCGTATATGGAACGACCTTAAGAGCTGCAATGGATCGGTCTAGCCACCCGAGTAGGAGCTCGAAAGACTCAAGAGAACGTACGAGAGGTTCTGTGGTTCACTTACGAGCCAATTGAAATCTTGTCAGGTCTTCATGAAGATACGTACGCTTCAGTCCCGCGACTTGTCCCAAGTGAAGCACGTAGTCTGGCCAATTCAATGGAACTAGCGAAGAGCCCATATCTTTACCTCGAGTTGACAGAGACGTTCTGAAGCCCCTAGAACCGAAAGAATAGCTCTGGTAAGCTGTTATACGCAAAGACAAGCCTGGATACTGGCATTTCGTACCCGGAAGTCCTTTGATAGTCGCCGCTGATCTCATTGACTCCTTCCGCGAGACAGTTGCGTAGCTTTGCACGTCTGTGTGAATTCTTCATCATTGTTCCTTCTCCAGAAAACTAGGATCCAGCTCTACTTTCTTCTCAAACTTTACCCACCAATCCTGAAACGCCTTCAATGGAACGGTATCACTTCCAAAACTCGCCAGAAAGTTGAAAGCATTGCCGATAATCCTCTGCGCCAGCACTTTCGTGGTGACTTTAGCATTCTCACTACTCGGGTTCAGCCTCACCATAGCACTTGACGGCTGATTTGGTACACCTCCAGACTGCAATGTCGCGAGCTGCTGTTCAACCTGCGCAACCGGCTCAATCGAAATCCCAACCACGATATCTCCTCCCGTAGCCGCTGCACCGGCCATGGTATCATCAGCCATAACATTTCCATCCGCATCAGCCGCTCCCCTCGATTTGAGCCCAGAGACTTTGAAGATTGCACTTTCCTTTCCCGGTCCAATGCCGCCGAGGAGCTTGAATTCTTGTGAAGGTGGGATCTGTACGTATACTGTCGCTGCTGTTCCTTCTGGTAATTGGATCCCGGGTAATATGAAGACGACGATGTGGCTGAAGACGGGTGTTGTTGGTATTCGGAAGGCGTATTGGGCTTCTGTGATGGCTTGGGGATTGGCGTCGACTGGACGGCCGGAGATGATGAGGCCGAACATGGCGGGTGGATCAAACGATGATTGACGACACTCCCAGCGGTCGTAACAACCCGGATCGCTCGAACCTCGTCTAGTATGTATTTCTTTGCCGTCTAGCAGGACTTATTGTCCTTTTGGTTCGCCAATCTCAGCGGCTCGAAATCCTTCTGGTTGTTCAGAACAATGGTCGATCTGCGGGGATAGTTCTCTCTGAGCGCTGTGGGTTGATGAAGTTCTGCGATTGGATTGCCGAGTGATTTGAAGATGTTTGATGCTCGCAATACTCCACATTAAAAGAGCGTAACTCGAGTGTCATTTCGAGACGTTACCGGAAACTTCCAGAGAACGACGCTAAAAACGGAGACTCCCGCCATGTCCGAAGATTTACCGAACCACATTCACTTGGGGGTTCCTCCTCGGGCAGCGCGGCAGGTGACAAGTATGATGTCGAAAAGTTGACATTGGAGAGGCTGAATGGAGCCTCAGAATAACTTATATATGCCTAGACTGGGGGTAGGGGAAAATTTTGTCGGCTCTGCAACGCGAGCTTTTTTAGTTTCTAGTCGATACACTTCGTAATCTTTAGAAATACTTAGTACGAATTTCAATAGATTGTTCTTTAGTCCAATACCGACAGCCCCCTTGATATAATCGAAAGCTATAGACTCGTCGTTATCGAGATAGCTAACTTCCCCTACCCGGATTCAGGGTCTATGTTATAAAGCTACCTTATATATAAATAGGCGCGGTTGGTCCTTAGGCGCGCTATAGAGACTCCTAGCTGCTACTACCCCATAACATACCTAACCGCATATAGAAAGTGAGTATAGAAGAAAGTCACGAAGGGCGTATGAGAAGGAGGTAGGCATCATGGGGAAAATGTAGTAAGGACCCACTTGCGGAGCGTTGATCAAATTCTCGATGAACCCTTCACTGCAGTGCTTGTCAACGATAGGTTCTCTCCCATAACATTTCCCTCCGCACGAGCGGCGAAGCTGTTCAGAGGTCCGTTGCCGTTTCGTTCCTGGTGAAGAGTTGAGATCGGCGCAGAAAAACGGTGGCGCCGGGTAAGGTGTGGTGGACAGAGAGGTCTTGAGCGATGCAGACGTATTGGGAGCCTGTACTGGAGGCAAATTGCTTCTATGTTAGTCGCAATGGATTGCCTCATGTATGATCAGCTTACGAGTCGCAATGTCGGTGCATCGTTTGTTTCGCCAAACAGCATCCAGTGGAGTTCTGCGTACCATAGGTCTGAGAACACGGGCGGATACGTGTTGGGTAGTCTTCCGTAAGGATTAGTCTTCCATCAATGACTTCAACGGAAGAACCTTCTCCTCGGTAGCGATAGAGAAATGTTGCACCAGCCACGGGAATGGTATTTCGCGCTGGAAGAGGCAGCTTCGGTCGGAAAGCGAGAGCGGTTGTGGCCAGAAGGGCGGCCAGAGCACTCTGGATAGCATATTCGGCAGGGAAAGCGGCTCTTGGAGTACTTCGATACAGCTTCTGGCCCAATTGGTGGACCTTCTGTCGTACTTGATATCTTCATTGTCTCAGCTGTGTATGTGCATAGCCTTCGCGAGCATTGAGATCCTTCCGTGAACCTTTCCGCCTTGTCTACCTACTACGTGCAGAGTGACATGGCCATCTCAGTGTCAAGCCAGCATCTCCACAAGCGTCATCGGACATACCTACCTACCACCGTCCCACAATGACATTAAGCAATCGGCCTCTCCACACGCAAGCCAAAAATGCATAGCCGCGTCGAGGAAATGTCTTTGTGGAATGATTCGGGTGTGCAAACGCATGTAGACGACAGCGCGAGCTCGTTCTTCAAAGACGATTTGGGATTCCAAAGTGCCTTTGATGGGTAGTAGATGGACGCCGTGATGTTGATGTAGAAGTGATATCGAGAGAGTGAGAAGAGAAAGTGAAGTGAATGCCCCTCGTTTCCGCCGAAGATTCGCCGACGGCGCCTCACTTCAGCTCCACCAAACAGTCAACCTTGATGAGACTCGTCAGCTTTTCCACTTGTTCTGACAGACGACTGTTCCGACACACAGACAACATCTCTCACCACACAGCAGAGCATCCTGTCTTCCCAACAATAACATTCTTGATCAATCCCCAACAAAGCATGGCCTTCAACCTCAACCGCCTCCGCTCCTTCCTCCCACCCCTCCCCACCTGGGAACCCAAAGAGGGCGAAGACTACGACGGCGACAATGACCCCGACGGTCCCTCCACGACAGGAAGCATCGATCCCGACGCGATCGAACAACGCGAACCCATAACGATGGAACTCGCCGAACCGGCGCCCATCGGTTCCGGTCCCAAGTCCAACCTGGACCTCATAAACGAATGCGATAACTTCCCCTACTACCAGACCGATCCCAAGAAGTTCTTTGCACATATCAACACGTACTATGCATTATATGTAAGAGGGTATCCGGAGACGGAGTTGGGATATGTGTTGCCGAGTGTTGCCGAGGTGTTCAGGGGATTGCCCGATTGGAAGGTTGAGGATTCGGATCGGAGTTTGACGTTGATTTCCGGGTCGAACGAGGAGGAGAGATCTGCGATCGTGCAAGCTACCGTGAAAGCGATGCATGCGACGGGACATTTCAAGGTTCTGTCGAAATGGCGGGACGAGCTATACCCCGTATACGGGCCTAAGGGCGAATTGATGTTCAGTATGGAGAGGAGCGCGAGTGCACTGTTTGGCATTGTGACGTACGGCGTACACATGACCGCATATACGAGGAACGCGGAGGGGGAGATGAAGCTGTGGGTTCCGAGAAGAGCAGCGGAGAAACAGACGTACGGAGGGATGCTGGACAACACCGTTGCGGGAGGTATAGCGACGGGCGAGAGACCATTTGAGAGCTTGGTGCGGGAATCAGCAGAGGAAGCCAGTCTACCAGAAGAACTTGTGCGAAAGGGGGCAAAGGCCGCTGGAACGGTCACATACTTCCACATTCGAGATCACAGGGCTGGAGGGGAGACGAGGCTGTTGCAGCCAGAGTGCCAATTCGTTTACGATCTGGAGCTATCTGAGGATGTGGTGCCAAAGCCTTCGGATGACGAAGTGGAAGGCTTCGAGCTGAAGACGGTGGAAGAAACCAAGCAAGCGCTTCGAGACGGGGAGTTCAAGCCCAACTGTGCGCTGGTGTTGCTCGATTTCTTCGTTCGGCATGGCATCCTGACGCCGGAGACGGATGAGGGGTATATCGAGATTGTGGCTCGTCTGCATCGGAGGCTGGACTTCCCGACGCAAGCGCGTATGCCGTAGACAGATCCTTTACCGGCGCATTTGCAGCGCGGCAAAATGTACGGTGCCCAGCGTAGCTATGATACCCATGAATGTGTCGCGTAGAAATGACTACGTCTTCACGCCAGCATTCATGTCCCCGAACGCCTCGCTAATCGCCTTTTCGTGTGGCGTGAAGCTGCGAGCCTCTTGTGCTGCTTCGATGCGCCTCGCGCCTCGAACTCGTGACTGTTCGCGTCTGGACTCTACTTCTTGAGCAGCAAGTAGACGTATTCGATCTTCAGCGGGCTGAGCTTCTTGTACGGCCCATCGAGCGCCATGAGCAGGCCGCCAAAGGAGATGTACACCTTGCTGCAACATGACACTTTCGTCAGACATTGTTACACTGCCGCGCTCCTTGAGGTCTGATCTGTATACTCACATCCGATCACCATCATCCGGATCCTCCACCTTGTAGACCTTGCCATAACACACATAGTCCCACATGTCCGCGAGGCTGCCTCCTCCCTCGAGCCCTTGGTTCTTGCGCCAACTCTGGCCCTCATCTTTCGTGCCGTCGAGGTTGAGGGTGGAGGCGATGAGACACGAGAATGTCTCGCCCGCGGAGATGGGATAGAGTTCGCTGTTGATGTCGAGGGTGATTGACGTGCTGCTGTCCGACGAGGTTCCCAGGATTCGGTGGACGCGGTCGTATGTCTGGTCGAGGATCTGGGTTGCGGAGAAGGATTCTTCGTAGAGCTGGGCGTCGGCCATGATTGCGAGAAGAGACACTCGAGGTCGGCCGAGCTTGGTGAGTGGTGGGGAGAAGGAGAGTCGGTGTTGTCGTGGATTGGGTTTGTTATTCTCATGAACGCGAAGTTGGAGCCTCAAAAGATTCATGCCGCGGATTAATGACGGCCCGAGAGAGAGAGAGAGATGCCTCAGGCACTAGAATTTGAGACGCACGATTTCATTTCCACCGCTGTCGACTACTACAGCGACAGCTTCTCCACCAACATCTCATCCCGCGTTCTGGCGTTCGCATCAGTGATTCGCATCTAGAGAAGTCTCTTCTGGATCTCTCGGCAGAATCCCTTCTAGTGCGGATCTCGAGCGAAAAGGCAGCCCTACGAAGAATACGAGGTTCAACATCCCGGTGCAAGACTATTTCCACCTCATGTCTTCGGCTTGTCTCTTGGCGACTGCTCAGGTAGCACAGCAAAGACTGGTCGCAGAGAGATAACCCGAGAGACATCGTCTCCGCCGGAACATTGACCGAGATCTAAGACGTGAGCACTGAATAGCATAGTAAAACTTGACATGTTCCCGATGACCGAGGAGACATGATATCCGCTAGAAAATTGATCATGATGCATCGCGGGAGCCCTCGGTAGAATTTGAGAAGCTCATCCTTGTAGGATGGCCGGCTAGTAGAGATAATCTCTGCCGGAGAACAAGCCAAGATATACCGCGGATAGAAATTCTGTGCTGTGGAGGAAATGATGGAATCGAAGCTTCATTGCCTTGTTGGATGAGCCAAGGTCTGCAGGGTGAAGATGTACAATCGTAATGATATTGATTTTCCAGTCCTTCCACAGACTTGTCGCTGATACATGCTGAAAAAATGCCCCACGGCTGGTAAGACCTGTCTGTGGTCTCTTCCTGCCGTTCCGCCATATCATCAACGCTCTGGTACGTGCTGTATGACGGACATAATGCCGCCCCTACTTGGTGAGAGCCTGGGGGCAGCCCAAGTTAGCGAAGGAGGTGCGGCTGAGCTTGCTCTCAATCAAAGAGAGCGTCTCAACGGTAGGAGTGACAAGGCCGTCGAGATAAGTCGGGACACGCTCCGTGAGCAACTGGTAGAGCAAGCATTGCACGTCGTGAACGCTTAGGTCAACGGGCAGCTTGCCGTCCCGGATGGCGCCGAAGTTGATGGTATCGAAAGAGCCGTCGGCAGTGTTACCACCGAAGAGGACGGGATGCAAGTCGTACATGTTACGGATCTCTTGGATGACCCCGACAATATCGTACGGGTGGATGCGGTTCGTCCAATTGTCGGGGATCTTCTCCATGCCGTTGAAGGTGTAGGTGCCGTCGGATTGCTTTTCGGCACCGAAGAAAGAGGAGATGGTATCCTCGTCAGCAGCGTAGTTGCGGGTGCCGGATGGCATGAGGGTGTAGAGGAAAGAGGCGGCGCCGAATTGGAGGAGTTCGATGGGGCCGAAGTAGAAGTTGGGGTTCTCCTGAACGGATTGCTGGTAGCGCTGGTAGCGGTACAATGCCAGACCTTCCAGGTCGTGACGGTATCCCGGGGGGGCCAAGAGGGTGTCGTGCAGACTCCGTGCGGACTCCGGGCAGATCTTCGCGGTCTTCTTGTACTCTTCTTCTGCTCTCCAGGGGCGGGGCGGGCCAACGTTTGGGCTGCCGCAGGCTCACCGCGCACTCGACGCCTGCCCACTACATCTACTCGCCGCACACTGCTGGCAGCATGAGCAGGTGCGCGTTGCTTAGGCTTTCCCCCCTCATGTGTGATGTCTCTCGCGCGTTACAACTTGCGAGTAATCTCCATCCGAGATGAAACGCCCGGCGGATGAAATGGTGCTGGAAGAGTGACGAGGAAGCATGACATGAATTGGTCCAGCGTGATCGGCGAGGCTGTAGCAACAGGTGCGACGACACTCGCAACGCCATCACACCGACGCATCATCGCCACCTGTGACCCCAAACCCATCTTCATCTCGATCAACTGCCAATGTGAACGTGTTTCCTTCCCGTTCCATAAATATGGAGAAGTCACACGTGTGGAAAGGTCGAATCTGCCACCCAACCACCATCTCGTGCGACGTGTCCTTGTTGCCGACGCTGCAACGTGTGAGGGTGCAAGAGTATCTCGCGTTTCACTCGGAACGCATCATCATCAATATATATGTATATATATATATATATATATATATATATATACCGATTATATACTAATCTATATGCTAAATCTATATATGATTTATATACTAATCTGTATCTATACGAGAGAACGACCTACTCTATCAGCATTGCGAGCCTGCCTATTGGCCAAGGACGCAAGGCGCGAGCCGAAGAAGACGCCGCCCACATGTCACTACTAGGCTTGAGACTTTGGTCAACTGTACATCTCAGTTCAAGTATTTACAGCAGGCAAGTCGAACATTTCTCACTACAACCTCATAGACACGGTCGGACCCGTACGTCGTGCATTCGATGCGGGTCACGAGGTCAAGGCGAAGGCTCATGTCGCGCTTGTCCCTTAGCATCGCTCGAACACGCGGTAGAGGCGCTTGAGGTTGGACACTTCCATCGTGCCTTGGAGCAGGCCCGTCGTGGCCACCAGTCGGGACTTGAACGCGGGGAACAGTACGTTTTCAACAGCGCGCTGCACATGTTGTCTTCGCTCACACAGTTCCTCGTCCTCGTCATCAGACGGCGGTGGGAGCGCCTCGGGCGCGTAGAAGCTTGCGAGTTCGCGCAGAAAGCTCTCGAAACAGGCTTTCTCGTTTGTCCAGTCGACGTGAGGTCCAAGCCGAAGAAGGAAGTTGGGAAGCTTGGCCATCGAGGGCGTGTAGCCCTTGACCAGCAATGGAATGCTAAGCAGCTCACCTTCTGCCGAAACGCTCAATGCAAAGTACTCCGAGAGCATGTCTTTTCGACACGTCAACTGCTCCACTACCGCGGGTACGATGCTGTCCCAGTCCACTGCCACATCGTCCGGTTCCATGGCCTTGCTTTGAGCAACGGCGATGTTGAGCAACTCTGCCAGACGCAGCGGCGGCTGGAAGCTCAGAGAGCCGAAATTGGAAAAGTCAGTCAGTCCGAGCTGGTAAAAGTATTCCGCGGATACCAGTCCGTAGTCCACCAGAAGCACGCGCACCCCGCCCTGGATGGCAGCTATGCGCTTACTTGCATCCACGATGCCAACAAATGTGTGGTTAGCGAACGTGTCAGTCAGATCGTTATGCATGTCTTCTCGCACCGAGGCCCGCAGCTCCTTGACAGAATTCAGGCGGCAGACGATTGCCTCCTTGTCCGTATACTCGTATTCCATGCCGTCAGAGCCTGCCTTGCGAGATGGTGACGATGCGCGTTGCGCTTGTGGTAGCATTGCGGTGATCTTTCTCGACTTCGCGTCAGTCCGAACGAGATTGTTTTCATACGGCTTCTTGCCTGCCGCTTGTGCGGGAGACGGGCGTTGCATGATCGACGCCGACGGCGACGTGCCGTCTGGAGGCTTGGTTGATGGCTTCGGGAGGCTTGGCGTTGTTGCCGCGCCCAAGAGGCTCTGCGTCATGAATGTCCTACTGGTGTCGACCTTTCCAAGCAGCGTCCGGATTTCTTCGCAAACGAGCTCGACGATCTCCTCTTCGTTGAGGAAATTGACCTCACGTTTCGTGGGATGGACATTGACGTCGACGCGAGCAGGATCGATCTCGAGACTCAGATAGAGAAAAGGCTTGCCGCCCTTTGGCAGGAACGCGGCGTATGTCTGCTCGATGCCCTTCTTGATGGCAGATGAGTCGACTGCTCGGTGATTGATGAAGAGCAGCATGGTCGTCCGCTTTGCGCTGTGGTTGGCATTGCTGACGAGACCGTCGGCCTGAAAGCCGTACTGGTCGTTCTTGATCTGGAACTCGATGAGGTCGTTGGCCACTGCGCTGTTGTTGGTGATGCGAATGCGGTCGCGAATATTGGCATTCTCTTGCACAGAAATGCTTGCACCGGATTCGCCGTGTTTCTTGCAAGAGAAGGCGACTCTTTCACAATGGACTGCATACTTGCCGACGACTTCTGCTATCCTGGCGTACTCCTCGCTCGGGGAGCGGAAGGCACGACGTCTGGTCGGCACGTTGTAGAACAGATCCTCCACGGTGATGGTCGTGCCCTGCTTGCCGGCACATGGCTGGGGGTCTGCACTTGCACCAGGCTTAGGAGGGGTCAATTTGCCGCCGCTGTAGCACGCCTTGTATGCGCAGCTGGATTCGGCGGTCTTGCTGGTCACGGAAAGGTGCGCAATGTGACTGATACTGGCCAGAGCCTCACCGCGGAAGCCGTAGGTGCCGATTGCTTGCAAATCTTCGAACGCCTTCAGCTTGGACGTGGTGAATCTTTCGCACAGAATGGGCAAGTCGTCTTTGTCGATGCCACAGCCATTGTCGGTGATCTGGAGCAGCTTCAGGCCGCCTTCCTTGACGACGATCTGAAGATTGGTGGCGCCTGCATCCACTGCATTCTCGATGAGCTCCTTCAAGGCGTGCTGAGGAGCGACGATGATTTCGCCGGCTGCGATCTTGTTGACGACATCTTGGTGCAGCGCCCGGATTCGGGGGGGAGGCGCCATCTCACTTGCTTTGCGTTTCGTGCCACGCGGTGGCGACGATGGCGACTCCATCTCTTCGATCGAGTGTTCCCGATGAAGGTGGAAGGGAAGATGAAACGGATCAGGTGAGAGGAGATGAGATGAGATGAGGTGGAAAGTCGGAGTCGATGCAGAGAGATTAATATTCGGATGCAGACGCGGTGACGCGACTCAGGCAGCAATCGCGTTCCGCCACTTCTGCACGTGACCAACCCCGATCCCTCGGGCCATCTGTCTCACGTGATCGATACCTCCTTCTCGGAGCCATTTCGCCACTAGTGGGCCTTCCACAATATGAGTATACACTAACTCACTATGCATTCAAAAAGTCATGACGGGACAATTCTCGGCGCTACGAATCATTTGCTCGCTTAGACGTCTTCACTCCTCGCTCAATTTTTCAACGGATCACCCTGGTCGGCCTGGATCCTCGCATCCTGCACGATCTTCCCCCTCTCCTCATCCCTGAGGTCGAGCTCAAACGGGAATGGATTTGGCTGAACATTGAAACCTTCCACATAGTCATACTCCGGATATTCCATCTCCTCCCCGGTCTTCGGATCCTTCGCTTTCGACACATTGCAAGCCCATGCAATGCGTGCGCTCAACAGGTACATACTCCTCTCGGCAATATGCATTCCGGGACATATCCTCCTTCCAAAGCCGAAAGAACTGAAGTGCTGGACATTGGGAAATGTATCCAACGGTTCGCGATACGTAGGATACTCTGGATCAAGCCATCTCTCCGGGATAAAAGACTCCGGATTGGGGTAGAGAGTCTCATCACGATGAATGGCCCATTGGTTGGGGTGAACATTTGTGCCGGCGGGAATGAAGTAGGTCTTGCCAGTTGCTGGAGATATGTAAGTATCGTCCTTGGTAGACATGTGTGGGATTCCACCTGCGGTGACTGGACGCCATCGGAGGACTTCCTTGACAACCGCGCGGACGTAGGGCAGCTGCGGTATGTCTTCAAACCCAGGAAGGCGAGAGGAGCCGACGACCGACTCTATGGACTTTTGCAGCTTGGCGTATGCCTGCGGATGCAGGACCATGGCGAGCACGAAGCTCATCATCGCTGCGGCCGTAGTACCTGCACCTGCCTCGAACAGCGTACCCACGACGTATGCTCCTTGATCTTCCGTAAGACGATATCGGTCTTGGTTTTCCAGATACACTTTCTCCCAACACTCCGCAGCATCGCCTCGAGCCATGGATTGGCGCGTGTCTCTCAACAAGGTGCGAAACACATCCAGCTCCTCCACGTGGAGCGCTTTCAGCTCTCGCTTGAACGGAGCAATGGCATCGGGAAGGTGTCGCATCCAGGGAAGCACATCGACCACGTACGCGCCAGGACTGGCTACCCGCTCAACATTGTGTACCACACGATAGATCCGATCGAGCAGCGGGTCGTTTTCTTCCAGGATCCTGCCGAATCCGAGACGGAAAATAAGACCGGCGGAATAACGCATAAACCATCTCTCATAGTCTTGTGGCTTGCGAATCAAGTCTTCCAACAAGCGGATACTCTCCAGTACTTGCGTGGGCTCGTACTTGGCGGCTGACGACGGCTGACACAATTGATGCATCAGTTTCCGGCCCTGGCGAGTTTCTTCACCAGAAGGCCAGAAGAGCGGTCGCAGATTATCCGAAAGTAGGCCCACAGCGGCTGGTAGCTGTTCGCGTGAGCTATAGATATTACCACGGTCACGTAGCAGATCGTTGGCGATCTTTTCGCTGCTCACGATGAAGTGCTCGCGACCAGCAATGTTGAGGCGGTAAAGAGGACCATACTGCTTAGACCAGGCGAAGAATTGCAGCCATGAGTGCCTTGACGGGATGGACAGTAAGTTGCCCAGCACCGGGAGTCCTGGTGGACCTGGTGGGAATGTACCATTTGCCGGAGACTTGTTCTGGGACGAGACAACGAAGTAGATCAAAGACGAGGCGAGTACGATGCCGGCGACGATGAGGAGTGCCATTATGCTCGACCAGCAGACAACTGCTCGTATATTCTAGTACCAAGCAGCCCGTGTGGCCGGACCGCTCAGAATGTGGAGAAGAGAAGCGAAGCTGCCTTGCTCGGGTCGGTGCAGGTAATGCACACAGAGGCGAAAGTGGTGCAAATGCCGGTTCCGGACCACAACATCGCTTTTCAACCCTACCTAGCTTTTCTTTCTTCATTCGTCTTCGGTTGAACGCCAAGGCTACGGTGCAGGAATATAGAGGAAGGAGTGAGTGAGTGCTACGGACCAATTTCAATTCCTGTCCCGAGCTGGCCACGGGCAGCAAATCGCAGAGCTGGAAGTGCTGCGCAGGAAGATGGCAATGCAGCCTTCACATTTGGGTCATTTGCCGTATTGCTTGCCGCGGTACTTTGCGAAGTGGTATCTCTCCAGAGGGGTAAAGCGGACTCGGTCCGTCTGCTGAATAACAGGCAAGGCGGCACTGAGGTTTGCTTATGGAGCTTCACACTCTGCGGGGTTGCAGAAGACCCGAGGGGGCATGAATCCGCTCCCGAGCATGTGATTGAGAATATGTACGTCAATACTCGCCATGTGTCGCGCGATAAGAGCCTCGAAATATGGGATGTCTGTTTCCGTTTCGATCATCTGCCGCCTGTGCGGCATTCTTGCTAACAAGTATGACGAGACCCAGCTTTGGCAAGAAACGTCCTCTTGCTGTGTCTTTCGATGATATACCGGGCGAGCTACCAAATGGCTCTGTGCCTGATGGTACTGGCTTCAGCTTTCAGGCCGATAACGCTATTGCACAGCTCAACAACTTGCAGCCGAACCGCCTCACAAGCAGTATCGTGTGAAGGAACGTTCTCACGCTGACACACCACTCTCGACTACTCTTTGTCCGCCGAAGTGGTGAACTCGACCTTGCAGGCATTGGCGACAGGCAAGAATGTCGATCCTTTCGATAGAGCATCAATAGCCCGAGATTTTCCGGCTTCAATTGGATCGACGTTGACTTTACCTCTTCCACAAACGGGAGAGTCTCACGGTGTCGGCCGCAGGTATTGTCGTCTGCTTACGGTGTCCCGATGCAACCTGGCAAGTTTGTGCTGAAACGTGGATGGAGCGTCCTGAACGCCATGGTAGCCCCGACGTGGCAAAGCCGCCGGCAGCAGTCAACGATTCGTCTGTACAAAGCGAGAATGCCACTGGGTGCCGTCATAATCCGCGGTGGTCAAGCACGACTTTCCACAGCAGGCCGGCTACAGGGCCCTGGCATCCAGCTATGTTGTCTTTGAGAAGACTCCACACGTAGGAGACGTCTGGCGGAATCGCTACGACAGCCTGCGACTGCATACTCCAAAAAGGTACAGTCCTTTGGCATTTGGCTCGAGATACCCTGCTGAGGACCCTCTCATGATACCAGCGAAGTCGTTCGGTAACGGCAATCAGGCATGGGCCGAAGCAGATGGAATCAATATTTGGAGCAGTGTAGAAATTGTCTTGGCGCACTTTGACGAGGGCTCATGCGTTTGAACTGTCGTTGTGTGATCCAGTGCCAAGAAAGAAGACATTCAGCGCAAGGTGTCTGGATTTAGCATTTGGTCCTGGAGCGGCACGACCGGTGTCGCCGTCTTGGGCTGGAAGCGAGAGTGTCAAGGCCGGCGGACCGCAAGGACGAGCTCGAGATCAAAGCGCAGCCAGTGGAGGGGCTCTATCAGGATGGCGTGGAGTTCGAGGCCGGTCCCAAGGTGTCAGCAGACCGCATTGAGCTGGCCACAGGCTATGACCATGACTTCCGCTCTGATGCCGCCAAGATCACTCCACTCCCGTGATCAGGACAATTGGAATGCTGCAGACTAGGAGGGGGTCCCAATCTGTACCTTATCCCGATGGTACCGAGACGCGAGGAGGGAGGCGGCACCTTCTCACGATTCATTTGCCTTGCCGTCCGGGCCGACGTGCCTGGACATCCTCTCCGGCCAAGTCTCAGCGCAATTCAGATTATGCCATCACGTATTTTCTCATGTAATATGAGGACGACGCATTTCCATTGGTGTTGATCGGTTGAGACTGGTGATGTCGTTGGTAGTTGCTGGAGAAGATTCCGTGCCAAGACCGGCTGTTATGACTCCCGCAATACCCGAGCCGGATACGTGCACTCTGCGTGTGTGCGTGGACTCTAGATATCTACCTTATTGTCAGAGTTTGTGCCGACCTTGAACGGCCACCGGTCGCATCGCTTCCAACATCTTCCCCCTCAACCCGCATGGCCTTCAGAAAGCGCAACGTAGCCCTCGCCCGCACGTCAGCAGCGTCATCACCCTCAAACGATGTCACCTTGGAGAATGCTACAGCGGCGCCCGGCGTCAGACCTTCGCCGCTGACCTCACACCCGACCACTTCCACCGGCACTCCTTCACTCGATGGTTTGCTCGCCGGCCATGCTGGGCTCGCGCTCGGGTCGAGCTTACTCGTGGAAGAGAGCGGCACCACCGACTTTGCCGGCGCGCTGCTGAAGTACTACGCTGCTGAAGGCATCTGCCAGAGACATGTGCTGCATGTTGTTGGTGTGGGAGAAGGATGGGTCAGGGAGCTGCCTGGCATAGCGGAAGAGAAGGGGAGAGATAAGGCTGCAAAGGTGTCCACGGTCGATGACGAGAAGATGAAGATTGCTTGGCGATACGAACGGCTAGGTCAAGCTGGAGAAAGAGGTGCGTTGAGAGTGTCCATGATACATAGCCCGAAGAATAATTCGCATGCTCCACGCATTGGCTTTCCTATTTCACGACTGATGGTAAGTGCAGCTCTGCCAGACCGCAGCATCCCCTCAACATTCAGTGGAACTCCGCAGGTAGAGACACCATTCTGCCACACATTCGATCTTGCCAAACGCATCACCCTCCCAGCAGATGCGAAGGTCAATCACATCCCCATCTCTCCAAGTCAGACATATGAGAGAATAATGCAGTCACTATCTCAAAGCCTGGTCTCCTCACCCTCCGACAGCATACACAGACTAGTCATCCCGTCGATTCTTAGCCCGGCACTCTATCCACCCACTTGCAGCCGACCAGAAGCCTTCCTGGCCTTCTGTCGCTCTCTCCGAGCCCTCCTGCGCCAATATTCGACCAGACTCACAGCAATCATCACGCTCCCGCTTGAACTCTATCCTCGCACCTCCGGCCTCGTGCGGTGGGCGGAGATCCTAAGCGATGGCGTGGTCGAACTCACGCCCTTTCCACATCTCATGGACGCCTCCAATGCTCTAGCTGAGAGTGGCGGGGCAAGGGCTTCCGAAGAGCAACCACAAGGCATGGTCAAATTCCACAGACTACCCATCACCACAGAGCGCGGCGAAGGAGGCGCGAGCGTTGGGAACAGCCTCGGAGAAGACCTAGCATTCACAGTCAGTCGAAGAAAATTCGTCATCAAGCCTTTCTCTCTACCGCCTATCGATGGTGACCAGGAAGCTCAGAGAGAAAGTGGGAGACCAACAGGCAAAGACGTAGAATTCTGACTCAATCTGAATGATCATCTTCGAAGGAAGGACGTCTCCCAAGCATGTCTTCCATCTCTATATGTTCATTTCCACCGCCCATGCCCATGTTCCGAGCGTATTGGATGCCGTAAGTTGTTGGTATGGCGCGATGGTTTCGCCGTCCGCTCCAGACTGAGCGGATCTCGTCGCCTAGACATGATGAAAGGGCGAAAAATACGAGGATCAGCAGGAAGAATGCAAAGAGCAGGATGAGGATCAGCAGGAAGGTATTCATTTTTGACGCTGAAGAAGGAACATGGAAAGTAGACGCACTGGACAGCCAAAGATGTGATACCTCGGTTTCGGAAGACGGCATGGTCCGGGCCCATTTGGTCCGACTTCACTTCTCTCTTCAGCATCAACCTTCAACGTGTTGCTTCGGTCATCTTTTTCGTTCTATCAACAAGGACTAGGGCTATGTGACCAATGAGATACATAGGGTGAAAGGCTCAAGACAACACGACGACAGCCGGACCGCGGTATCACGATCTTCGCTCGTTGCGCGTACGCTCAACATCTGTCATGGCTTTCAGGGCCATGCATGTGCGAATCCGAAATCCTCGAAACATCATAGAGATTGTGGATCCAAAGCGCAGAGCGCTGCGACGGCATGCATCTTGGAAAAGACCAAGAGCCCCACTTGCGTGGACTGCCATGCCGCAGCTTGAGGCGTCCTGACAGCGGGTTTGAAAACTGCTCCACGTCATGGGCACCCTTCAGCAGGCTTTGCGACCCGACTCTGAGGTTGACTTTTGCTAAGACCGAGCTCGAATAAAGACAACAAGCAAAAGGCTCGTTTAATCATTGACTGGTTGCACATAACAAATGTCATTCTTGGATAACAGGAGATCACCGCAACTGCGGGTAAAGCAATTATGCTCGTTCACTACGTGTTATGTTGTTCGGTAATTACCATCGTGCTCTCCACTTTCATATCTGAAGGCTCGTAGAGTCTACAAAGCCAGCACGGTCCCCACATTCGAAGCCACTTGCGGACACATCTGTTATCTCCAACATCATCGGTGGTCGTAACAACAAATCCCGCATCGTCGATCCGCAGAAACGTTTCAGCGCTCCTCCATCACTTCAGGCCAGGCAAATACGAAGAGACCCGGACGCTCAATTGGCAGCGGACATGTTCATCTATAACAGAACTACTTGGCCGTGTCGGTGTCTTTTACGACTCTAATCCAGGTCTTCTCGGCCTCTCTCTGACGAGCAAAGCTTTGCGGGATAACCCTAAGCCGCTATACGATCGCCATATCGACCTTGCTGGCCCCGACGGATTGATCCACGATTAGATCCACAAGCTTATCCGTTCTTTGGTCGAAAGTTCCGAACTTATCAAGCGGTACACTCCGTGAATGTCCCTCATGTAAGCGAGCACCTTTCAAAAGGCATCAATGAGGACAGACGCGACTACGTACTCCAAGCTGTCGAGCGGTTAAAACTTACGGTGATTCCCAGCGCTCTACGATGAAATCGAGTAAGATTTGCGTGTTGGTACGTGCTTGATGCATGCAGACATGGCCCTACTGCTCGCCATTCTCCCCAATCTTGAGAACCTACAGATTGGGGTGACTTTTGCCCCAGTTGCACCTGCACGTCTGCATCGTACTCTGGTGGGGTCGATGTCTGAAGCGGCACCAACCCTGCCTCCTTGGTCCAAGGGCACGGTGCCTTTCGATCGCCTCGCAAGGTCCACGCTCGAAGCTGATCAGGGCAAACACTAGTAGGCGGACTTTCGCTGGGATGTCGCTTCTGTACTCCCTGCCTTCAGGTTGCCTTTTCTGCGAGAGATGAGAATATGCGGTGCTATATCGATAGCCTGCCTTTGGTGGTGATGCTGCAGCGTCGAAGCTCAACGGTGCTAACGCCGGAACTCTGAACTTGATCTTGCCATATCTGCTGCGTTCGCCACTGCCTCGCATTGACGGCCGCAAGTGTCCTAAGCGTGAGAAGACTCATGGAAACCTAGAAAATTCTGCAGCACCCCAGTACCTGCGTGCACACTGGGCAGAGCTACCGCCGATTGCAACAGAGCACAAGTGCTGAAGAACAGGCCATATCCGTGCACCAGTAACACGAAAGGAGATCTCGTGAGTGATCAAACCGAAAAGGATTGATGTTGATAGTTGTTGATGGTTGATCACATATCGGGAATGTGAGTGAACGTTAGTGGTCAGGGGCCCCGCAAAACGCTAAGATTGTGCCAAGACGTATGTGCGTCATTGCACGTGGTCCCGCGGCTGCAAGTGCCACGTGCGCGGCGTAGCGTCGGCTGGAATGGCATTGCATTGCATGCGATCAAGCAGCGTTCGATTCGAGGCCGAAGGAACCTGTGATGTGTTGACGAAGCATTGGTCCCGAGCCCCACCGCACACTCCACATGCACTCCCTCCCATAATCAGCCCCGCCCGACCACGACACTCCGAAAGACAGCGGCGACGCGTATGCGACCCCGAGCGCACAGGAGACACGCACGACACGGCATAGGGCTGAACGAATGAGGGCGGCACAGCAGCTGCCAGCGATATCCCAAGTGGCTTACAGCACCGCGGGGCACAGGAGCAGGCCCAGAATAGCAGACACAGTTGGGGAGAAGATCAAGAGACGTGGCGGGCTGCATATCATATAGCATACATTCTGGTCGATGGCTCGAAAGGCCCGCCAGCGCATCAGCTATGTCCTGCCCCTCGCCAATAGCGCTGGCGGACATCGGCTGGGCGTCAACGGGCTGGCCGTCGACAGCCACACTTCCACGCTCTACTCGGGCGGTCGCGACGGTGTGATATGCGCCTGGGATCTGAACATCGACCTGAACAACAGGGCCAATGCGCCAGATCACGATGCGAAGCTCGCTGCCTCTCCCGCGACGGCCTTCAGGCAGCAGGTCCAGGCGCATACCCACTGGATCAACGATATCGCTCTGGCGCAATCCAACCAGGCCTTGATATCCGCCTCCTCCGACATAACAGTCAAGCTCTGGCGACCCAATGCTGCCGATGGACTTCCTCCCCAAACCCTTGGCCTTCACAGCGACTATGTCAAGACCCTAGCAGTGCCGTACGCGACTTGCGACTGGGTTGCGAGTGGGGGATTGGATCGAAAGATCAATGTCTGGGATCTGAACGGACATGGCCAGAGGCTGAGCATTGATGTTGGCGCGGACGAGGCAGCGACCATGTTGAGCAAGGAGAAGGGCAGTGTGTATGCCCTGGCGGCAACAAACTCTCTGCTTGCGTCTGGCGGTCCGGAAAGCACGGTACGGGTATGGGACTGTAGGACAGGCAAGCGTGTTACAAAGCTGGTCGGCCATACAGACAACATCAGGGATATCCTGATCAGCCAGGACGGATCAACCATCATGACTGCCAGCAGCGATCAAACCGTCAAGGCTTGGAGTACAATCGCCGGGCGCTGCATGTTCACCCTCACTATGCATGATGCGAGCGTGTGGTCCCTTTTCTCGTCCGATCCCGACTTGTCCATCTTTTATTCCAGCGATAAGAACGGCTTAGTCGCCAAGACAGACACTCGCAACACCATTGAACTGGACGAAGGCCTTTCCGTCGCTGTGGCCCAGGAGCATGAGGGTGTGCACAAAGTGATCACTGCTGGAGACTGCATATGGACGGCCACCAGTAGACCAAGCATCAATCGGTGGCGCGACGTCAATACGGATAACGCCGAGATCGAAGTGCCTGAGAACTACAATACCCACAGGTTGAGCTCGGCAACTGCCAAGTCGAGGTATCCAAGCCCACCCAACAGCCGGGATCTTACCCAGACAGCGTCACAGCAGGATCATGGAAAGCGCAAAATCCCTCTCAAGCACATGCTACGTCTCAGCAACACCGCTTTCTTCCCTACGCCCCTCGTTGAGGCTGCCGACTCCCCATCAACACGAAGAGCGACGCTAGAGTCTCAAAATCTTGAAGCATCGATAATGCAGCCGGTTCGCGGTCAACCGGAGTACTCTGTCGAAGGACAGAATGGACTAATAAAACACGTAATGTTGAATGATCGCAAAAGAGTGCTAACACTAGACACCGCCGGCGAAGTTGTCATGTGGGACCTTTTGAAGTGTGTGCCAATCCGATCTTTTGGTAAACGGCATCTCGAGGATGTAAAGGAGGAGGTCACAACAAACTCGACTGTTGCAAACTGGTGCACGGTGGACACCCGAACGGGCAGCGTTGCCGTTATCTTGGAGGAGAACACCTGTTTCGACGCTGAAATGTATGCCGACGAGCTGGAGCTGGAGGACAACATTGATTTCCGAGAAGACCAGCGCATTAACTTGGGGAAATGGGTGTTAAGGTACCTGTTCAATAATCTAATCGCCGAAGAGATCAAGCGGGACGAGATCTATCGGGAGCAGCTCTTGACAACTCGAGAGCAGCAGAGATTGCAGCGAGAGAATGCACCATACAGCATACAGATACCCAATGCACACATGAATGGTTGGGGCCGCGATACCGGGGAAACAGCATCTGTACCGACACATAGAGCCATTGCGAATGGCGTCAAACCTCCAGTGACTCCAGGTTCCAACATTGGGCTTGCAACTCCGGGCATCACGAGCTCACCTGCTCAAACGAAAACGGCGCCAAATCTGCCACCAACGGAGGAGGAGGGAGCGCCGCTTGAGCAGACGGCTTCCCAACAACTCCCGCGAAACTCCGGGGAAGGAAGCGCCGACTACTTTTCAACCTCACGATTGCCGAACACGCACTTGAATACACCCGGAGGATCCCAGCCAGCAACAACGCCAACGGAGAGCCACGAACCGCAAACGCCCTCCGTGGAAGGACCGCCGACCGCCACCTCTGGTAAAGAAGGGATATTCGGCAAGAAGTTCAGAATGGGCATGTCATTTAGCGGCATGAAGAAGATCGGTCGCACACAAACGAATGACCGGCCTGCGCCGGTAGAAGAGAAGGAAGAGACCGAATCCGACACCCATTCGAGTAAGACGAGCAACAGTCGGGTGGTAGATGATAACCTGCTCGGTACTGTCCAGAAGATTCGATTCGCCTACGAGGACCTGTTACACCAACAGATGCAAGCTCAGCAGGCTTTTGAGAATGGCCTTCCCGTACCACCAGCCACGATTGACGTTCCATCAGCTATCGTCCCTTCGCTGCCCAATGAGACGCCCGTGCTGAGACCACCCCTCAACACCACAATCCTCATCCAAGAAGACCGGCCTGAAGCCGGGGGCGTCGCGGATCTCTTCGAGGGCACGGTAGGAGCACTCGGCGATATGTGCGATGTTGCCGAGAAGGCCGCGCCGATGTGGCTGGGTGAAGTGCTACTACGGAATCAGATCCCAGCAAAGGACATTGTTAAGATTTCGTTCATACTTGAACCATTCCAAGGGTCAGGACTGCCAAGCATTGCGAGTGACGGTAACAACCGTTTGAATGCTAATCGCATGTTGCGTGCAAGGAAGATTATGGGATATGTAGCCGAGAGGATCGAGCCTGCGCACGCGGAAGGAGAAGTAAGTGGAGATGGGAAGGTGTGGAGGCCGGAGGAATACCTGGAGCTCTGGTGTCAGAACCAGGTAAGTTCCATCCTTGACACTCAACGGTGTCGTGGCGATATATTGACTGGCCTGTAGCTTGTGCCTCCGACCATGACCCTCATGACGATTCGGTCGCATCTCTGGCGAGGAGGCGGAGATGTCGTCCTCTACTACCAAGCGAACGGTAGGAAACCTATCGTGCATGCCTCAGCAGCGCCGCAGCAGGTGGAGTCAGGATACCCCCCTAACAAACCTGCGAGTACAAAGGAGACATCAGCCTAGAGATACGTTCGTGATCAATGAATATCAGCAGGCAATGCTTGATCGGCCTCTGGCGTCTCTCTTGGAGTCTTCAGTTCCAACACTCCTTCGCTGCGTCTAGAGCGGTAAGAGTGACTTCAAGGGGATGCAGCACAACAGTAAAGTTGACCCCCGTCACAGTAGTAGCGAACGTTTCTCATCGCAAGACGATTCTAGCAAGCATGAAGGGTCTTGCTTCTTCGGGACTCGGACATCCATAGCGTGATCGCACAGCGGAACATTTGAAGGCCATTATCTTCCTGAGAATGCTAGTCAAGAGCAGGGAGGTGGCAAATTGGACTGCGCCAAATCAGCTGTATCAGCCGGCGGGATACTCGAAGAGAATGTTCCAAGAGAGATCTTGGTACTAATATATCATCCGCGGAATAATCATCGCAGGAGAGATAAAGATTCACTACCTAAATTCGTAACGGGGACCACCCTCCGATATCGGCAAGGCGTGGACGGGCGGGAGGGCGGGAGGACAACGGGCCGAAAGATTAAAGTCTCTCATTCGATCACTAAAGAAAAATGTCGAGTTCTACATGTACTCACTGCAGGAGTCACTTTGGTCTCTGTCACCTGTTCTTCAGCTTTCGGATTCGTCTAGACTTGGTCACCACCACGATCAAGATGCGAGACGATGAGGAAGATGGCAGCTGGGTGCCAGATGAGCGTGGCGACTTGAAGGACGTCGGCATCCACGAGAACAACGTCGATACTCATGGTGGAGAGAGTGAACAACAACATCTGTCGCCCGAGGAGACGGCCCGCATGCGCAAGATATACCGCAAGCTCGATTGGAGGATTGTTCCACCTTTCTGGATGTTGTACTTCCTCTGCTCGGCGGTGAGATCGAATGTCGGCCTGGCACAGACGATGGACACCGAGCAGGGCCATGATCTGGAGACTTATCTAAACCTCACCCCTCACCAAGTATCCACCGGCCTTGCATTGTTCTACGTCACCTATGTCATCCTGGAGGTTCCGTCAAATCTGGCCATGAGCAGACTCTCGCCTTCGGTATGGCTTGCTCGAATCGTTATCAGTGTCGGTGTCATTGGAACGGCCATGGTCGGGATGAAGAACGCTGCGGGATACTATGTCTTGAGATTGCTCTTAGGAGCTGTCGAAGCTGGCATGTGGCCGGGCATGTCGCTGTTCCTCACTCTATTCTATCCACCCCAGCGCATGGCCAAACGAATCGGATGGTATTTCACTGCCTCTCAGGTTTCTGCTGCTGTCGTGGGTCTCGTCAGTGCCGGCTTCCAGGAAATGGACGGGCGTGGCGGTCTAGTCGGCTTTCAGTGGATGTTTTTGATCTGGGGGCTGGTCACACTGGTTGTTGGGTTTAGCTTGCTATGGTGGCTACCGGATCGCCCGCTGGCGCCCGGCGAGCACAGGAAAATTCGTTGGTGGAATAGATTCTTGCCCGCACCACGACCAGCTTTGGTCGGCGACGATGCTGCTCTCCATTACAAGTATCTCAGTCAAGCCTACCACCACTCCGACTGGACGCTTCGCGATCTGTGGAATGTTCTCCTCGATTGGCGTTTTTGGCCTCTTTTGATCATGTACTTTGGCGTTGTTGGCGTTGGGAATGGTGTCCAAAGCTATGGTACTGTCATATTGAAAGCCATAAATCCGTCGTTTACCGGAGTCGAGCTGAGTCTACTCTATGCACCCATCTGGATATGCGATCTTGTTGGCATCGTCACTGTGACCCCGATCAGCGACTACTTTCATCGGCATCGAGCTATACTCTTTAGTTTACCAACCGCATTGCAGATTGCTGGACTTCTCATCTCGACCTATTCAGGAGACTCTGCTTCGGCCAAGTGGGGTCGGTATGTAGGACTTCTTATCGTAGGGTATGGACTTGGACCTACTGTGCCTATCACGATGACTTGGACTGCCGAGATCTTTCAACCACGACACGGCGAAGTTGGAGTCGCAGCCGCTAGCGCTCTAGTATCTGGCCTTGGCAATCTTGGTAGTGTCGTCACAAACTATGCGCTATTCTCAGGATGGCCGGCTGATGCAAAGCGGAACCCAGCTTATGTGGGCAGTAACTGGGTGATGATCGCTATTCTGTTTGCAAGCATAGTCGCAAGCTTCGTCATGACATTGCTACTGAAGGTCACGGACGGCTCACGAGAAAAGAGGAAGCAAGACACAGCTTGAAACCATGTCACCCGGTATTCAAAGATCCAGCATCTGGAGCCCTCCTGGCGCGTGAAGGCATTCTGTCAATACTCAACCACACTTCGTAGTTGGCAATGTTGAGATGCCTTATTTCAACACAAGCCAAGCGAAACTCTGGAGGGCTCTTTCTCACACTCCTCGTCCACCTCCTCAAATTTAGACGGAATGGGCTTCTCGGCCAGTGGTGTCAGTCTGAATGCATGTCTCCTATCGCCCGCGGGATAGTCGAGCGTTTGAGAGTGGTTGGTCACCCTCTGGTCCCAGACAAGTACCGTACCGGCTTCGTATTGCACTCGGCATTGGAAGTCTGCCCGTTTGGCGATATGGTCAAATAAGAATCCGAGCAGGTAGTCTGATTCCTCTTGATCAAAGCCAACGATGCGCTTCGTGTAGACCGGATTGACGTCTGCTCGATCAGTCAGTGACCTAATCCATCAAGCCTACTTGCGTTGCATACACAATGCCTTCTCCTCAGTCGTCGGATGGACGCGTACAACGGGATGTTCCGCGGTGAGCTCCTGCCTTCGCATGACGGCGCCGGAGCCGTTCTTCAACTCCTGCGTAACGCCATCGAGGTTAGAATGGATGGCCGTCAGGCCTTCTAGTCGCTTTCTAAACCTCGGAGAGAGCGACTTGAATGCTTGCACGCTTGAACTGACAAGTGTGTCGCCCCCTCCGGTAGCAGGAGACTCTAGCATGCATATAAATGTCGTGCCTGGAGGCTGCTGCTCTGGCGATTGGTCTGTATGCCACTGGATTGGACTCCGGCCTTTCCATGATCTTCGAACGCGGAGATCGTCTTTGTGGTCGTATATGATCATGTGCTCTGCTGATCCGGCTTTCGGATGAGGCGCCCATCCGTGGACGTGCAATGGGCCAAAGTGTTTGACCACCCTCCTCTGTGCCTCAAAGCCAATGTCGGCAAAGTCTTGAGACCGGAACACGAGCGCTCCGCGTTTTGCTGCGAGTAGCGCAAGCTCGTCGAGCCCAGCTGAAGACAGTTGCGAGATCTGAACGCCTTCGATCCCAGTCCCTACGTGGGGAGAGAGGTCGTAGATCTTCGTGGCGCTTCCTAGCAGGTTCGGGAGAGTGGGATCGGCACGACTTCCTGGATCGTTATGTTCGAATTCGCCGATGTCTTCGACTTTCTCTAGAGGATCGTAGAAAGCTAGGGAATCAACATATGATGAACAGTCGTCATATAGTTGCTGCACTCACGCATGAAGTCGGGGTACAAGGGTGAGCTGTCATGGTTCCTCTTCCTCATGGCCGCCTTGTCGTTAAGAGGCGATGAAGTGACAGTGGGCATTGGCATAATAATGGTGAGGAAGAAAAGCGATTGGTAGCTATCACACTGACGACTTCTGTCCGGTCAATATAGATTCTCGTGCACACGTACATCAAGAAGTGGGGTTTCGATAGGTCACCGACTGCCGTCAATCAGATGAAGAATCGCCAGCTTTGCGGATGCCCGCCTTTCCTTGCGCTATCAAAATCCTCTTCTTCACGTGGCCTATCAACATATCAACTACTCGGCCAAAGGTGTGGCATCTCTTCCAATCGCGATCTCTCCGCAGTATAGAAACAGCGTGCTTCATTCGTTTCGATCGCCAATGGTACTATCCGCAACAACCGCCGCAATGGCAGCGAAAGCCCCTGAAATCAAAACTGAAACCCTCCCTGTCGACAGCAATTCTTCCGAGACTAACACAGAATACGAGCGTTATCAAGAGCTGCGCGAGAAGTTTCACGATGGAGGAGAGTGCCAGCGACGATTCATTCGCAAGCGTGGGTTGTGTCGCCTACACCGCACCATTTCGTCCCTAATACCGCGATTTTAGTCGACTTCCGCCTTCTGCCCACATTGAGCTTCCTCTATCTAATGTGCTCTCTGGACAAGTCAAACGCTGGCAATGCGAAACTCTTTGGTCTGCTCGAGGACATCGGCATGACCTCAAAGCAATTCAATCTGGCGCTAATGTACTTCTTCTTCACATACGGGATCTTCGAACCGGTATCCAACGTGGCGTTGAGGCGCATTGGGCCGAAGCACTGGTTCCCGCTGATTATCACCTCGTGGGGGCTCGTAACAACTTTGACATGCCTGGTGTCAAGTTACCGCGGTTATGTTGTCGTGCGTCTTCTTCTCGGCGTGACAGAGGCGGGCCTCTATCCAGGTACCTACTTCGTTCTGAGCATGTGGTACACACCAAGAGAACTCGCTACACGCATGGCCATCTTTTACGGAGCAAATACCGCTGCCGGAGCTTTTGCTGGTGTTATAGCTTACGGTGTGGGCAACCTCGACGGCCAGCATGGGATGCGAGCTTGGAAATGGCTTTTCCTTATCGAAGGCGTAATCACGATCTTTGGCGGCCTTTGCTGTTTTTGGCTCTTACCGTGCGTCTCCCCCTCGATTCTTTTCCCGCCTTGCTGACTGACCACTGTAGGCATTTCCCTTATCAATATAAGAACAGAGCAAGCAGATGGCTGTCACCTTCTGAGCTCGAGTGGGCACGATTCCGTGTGAGGTACAACTCCATTCCAAATGCTCCAACGGACAAGTTTCACTGGAGCGACGCGACCTCGGCCCTGAAAGACCGGAAGACGTACTTCATGATGATGATGTTTTGGTGGGGTGGCAGCGTGCCAACATACTCGTTGTCTTACACCCTACCAACCATGGTCAAGAACTTGGGTTACAGCGCTATAAAGGCGCAGGCGATGACAACTCCTCCTTACATTTCCGCGACATGCGTCTGCGTGCTGGTCGGCTGGCTGTCTGACCGATATCAGAAGCGATATGTCGCGATAATCGGATCATACTCCCTCGGATTGATGTAAGTACGACCCCATCGTCGCTCAGGGTCTGCTAATACTTGAATCTAGTGGAATAGTCATACTATGGGTGACTGTGCACTACGAACACCTGTCCGGAGTCAGCTACTTTGCTATCTTCCTTGCTGCAGCCGGCTACTCCGCACAGGCGCCGATCGTGGGTGCATGGACCTCTGTCAATCTGCCAAACCCGTCCAAACGCGCTGCTGCTATTGGCTTTATCATGCTCGTAGGGTCGGTTGGAGGTGGTAGCATTGGCTCTAATATATACTTGGACTCGCAAGCCCCCGTGTACCCACTCGGATTCGGATTTAGTGTCGGGTGCACTATCCTCGGTGCTATGGTTCCAGCAACGCTACATTGGTGGCTTCTGCGCCGAGCAAATCGCAAAAAGTCCTTACCGGGGGCCATAGGCAAGGATGACCACCCCTAGAGCCTGTGCGACTCAGGCGAGCTGTCCTCTCACTTTCGATATTCCTTATAGGATGTCACAGCTATGCGTTTATACGGGTTATTTGAATGTTGCGACCGATGGCCGAAGACTGTAACGATCAACGCACGACCTAGTAATAGCTACTAGCTTACTACATTACTCGAAGGAGTTGATAGTAGTCTACCATACAATTCGGGGCACAGATGCTCTATGAGGTGCTTGCACCTCACAAATACCCGTAAGCGACGAACACGCGCATGTCTAACTATCTATAGAGAAGTAGGGTCGGCCTCCGCCGTAGCGCCCGCTACCGAGGTAGGTAAAGGAAGCTAAGTTATAGTTAGAGAGGAACCCGGCATATAGCCCTTGTATACAGACTAGCTAATTGTAAGACCTCTCGACAGCTTCTATTACTATTAGTACTAAGACGTCTCGCTCTACTAGCGGATATAGCGATATATAAAGCGCTATCTTAAGAGGTAGAGCGTTTATAATACTCGGATTACTTTGTTTAATAGAGTCGCCTTACTTAAAGATAGTATAGCGTTATACTAGTAACTAACGTTAGAAAATAAGCGTTACCTATACGACTTAGGCTAGGGGGGGTAAAGAGCTTTCCTAGATATCTTACTCTAGTAGGGTAGCGTAAAGACTTTAGCTAAGGAGACTAGGGTATCTATAGGCCTCTAGAGTACTAGAAACGTACTCTAGAGCGTCCGTAGTATCTAATTAATCTATATACTTATATGTATCCGAGCTTATACTACTAGTCTCTCTTATACTATTTAAAAGTATATAGTAGTATAGACTGTAAATATACTAAGTAAAAGTATCGTAGCTAGTAAAGAACGTCTATATAGGTCGTAGAAGAGTTATAGATAATTTATAAGCTACTAGCTAGATACTATAGCTAGTAGAATAGAAGGGTATATAGCTAGTAAAGGAAGTAACTATAACCTAACTATTCTATATAGAGGTATAAAGCTATAATTAACGCGGTAATATATTAGCTAATCTAGCTCCTATATAAGAGACTTTATAAAGGAAGGAAACAAAGAGTAGTACTAAAGAGGTATATACTAGAGTAGATATAGGTCTATTAAGTATATAGTAAAGCTATAAGTAGGTTAGTAGAGCTACTAAGGTATACTTACTAAGGGTTTTTAGTTAGTCCTAAGGTACCTAGGCACGTAGTACTAGGTACTTTAGACTTCTACTACTTATTACTAGTAGTAGATAAAGTAGTAGGTAAGTAGGTAGAGAGTAGGTAGTTAATTAATAGTATAAAGAGTTACTTATTTCTCTTCTTCTTAGAGAAGAGAAAAACATTTATATACCCTCTAGATATATCTCAGAACTCTATTATATACTAGGTCTAGTAAATATAAGCGAGTTTCCGTCTAAGTTCGGAGATAGGCGTATTTCTAATATTCCTATCTCTTAGTCGTAGATTTTTCGCTAGAATACGCTAGGTAGGTAGTAGATACCTAATAAGGTATCTAGCGGTAGGGTCGCCTTTAAGTAGTAGTAAGGTAGTACTTCTAGCTATCCTTACTACTCTAGTAGTATCTTTGTACTACTTTCTAGGTACTAGATACCTAATTAGGCAATCTAGTAGTATAGTTAGCCCTATAGTAGTTATATTTTACTCTTTAGAAAACATTCTATATTCTAATATACTCTCCTATAGTATATTCTTAGTTCTCTTCTCTTTTATTCTAGGTAGTACTCTTACTAGATATAAGCCGACACTTAATTCTAGCTTAAGTAGTACTTTAAAAATACCTAGTAGTTAGTAATACTCTTTTCTTAGTTCCGTATATATATTATCTATATACTATAGGGCATTGCCTTACTACTAGACTACTTATAAGTAACTAAACACAGATTATATTAGAATTAAGGAACATTCTTAAGTCTAAAAGAGCTAATAAGAGAGTAATACTATTAGGAGAATAGCCTAAATCGGGAATCTAGCACTTAGTAATAGTAGAAAAACGCTACTAGAGTACTAAGTAGTAGCTAGGTAAAGTAGTAGAGCTAGGGACTTTACCTAGCTACTACTTATAGGCTAACCCGCTACTAGATACCTAATTAGGTAGCTAGTACCTACGTAGGACAGCCTAGCTAACAATTTACAGTTAGATTATAGAGCAAGGTTATTAAAAGGTAGTCTAAACATATTAGAGACTAGAGTAGTTTTAACTTTACGAGCGTATAATAGAGTTTGCGAATATATCTAGAGAATATATAGAGACGTTTTTCTCTCCTAAGAAGAGAGAAAGACAGGTAACTCTTTCTACGTTTAATCTACCTACTTACTCTTTAATTACCTACCTACCTACCTACTAGCTACTCTACTAGCTACTCTACTAGCTACGTGCCCGGCACCTAGCTAGTATACTAGAATCTATCTTATACTACTTCTACGATATATATAGACGTTTAATAGCTAGCTACGACACTTATATCCGGCCTATCTACGCTTTATACTACGGTAATATATTTAATACTATCTAGCTTCTATAGTATCTTATACTACTTATCGTCTAGTAGAATAGCATTTATTACTACTATATCTACCTTAATACCTAGTATCTTAACTACTACGCTAGTAGCGTCTCTCTTATCGTTTCGAGGTACGCTAAGTTTGTCTGTAACTCTAATATACTCTTCCCTAATACTAAAAAAAGAGATTATTCTAATAGTCTAAATATAACTTAGAGAGTAACCCTACCCTAGAGATAGCCTAATCGGGTGTCTAGTATCTATCTAGTAGTAGGAAATTACTAGAATTACTCTAAGAAGAGCTAGAGGCACTACCTAGCTAATACTTAGAAGCGATCCTACTACTAGAGAATAAGTAGTAGAGGTCTGTACGTAGGCTAGCTTATCTCTCTACTTCTCTTTAGCTACTTACGAACTATATCCTCTTTAATTAGTACTATAGGTAGGGCTTACTCGCTTATCTCTTTCTATTAATTTTCTATTATAATCGATTTCTCTATATTATATAATACGATACTATAGTATTTTTAAGTATGTTTAGGTAGCTACTATAATAAAAATGTTTACTTAGCCGGTTATACGTAATAGGAAGAGAGAGGACGATAATATATCTAGTATACCTAATTTACTCTACTTACTATCGAGTAGTACTAATCCTATTACTAAACTATTATAGAAACCCTAAAAACAACTTAGAAGAATAACTAATACGTAATACGATAATTCCTATCGTTCCAGTCGCTTAGGTACTCTCGTAGTAGATACTCTTATCTAATCGTTAAGTAGGGTACTTAGTCGTAAGATCTAGTAAGGCCCTTCTCGCCCTAATACTCTCTATACACGCTTATAGAGCGGTAGAAAACATTAAATACTCGAGAATATCGTACCTAAGAAGGTAAAGTATAGGGAGGAAGCTACGGAAGTACTTCTCGTAGAGGAGAAGCTCGTAGCCTTCCGAGAGGACTAGTAGTAGAAGAGGTAGTACGTAGTACGTAGAAGGAAAGGAAAAGGTCGTATAGTAATAGATATTAATAACGATAATAGAGATAGTAGCGAAGGTAAGATACTAGATAGCGTACTTACTCTATAAAAAAAATCGTAGACATACTAAAGGAGTAGATACTTAAGGTCTATAAGACTTTAAAGAATAAGTATTTTAACCTAGTATACCTAGCTCGCTTTTACTATAGACATATACTGTAGCGCGCGCTACTAAGTAGAGTGTAGGAAGCTAACTTATAATAGAAGGGAAGAGGCTAGCATTTAGTCCTTATATATGGACCTCGTTATTACTAATAATATCGATAACTTATCTATAATAGTAATCGAAGACACTAAATCAAGTTAAATAAGGAGTCTTTAGATACTACTATTATAGAGATTACCGGCCCTATCGCATTTATATAGGGATAGCTATCTTACGTACGCCTAATACTCGCGTTTTATAGGTATAATAATATATAGATAGCTAATACTCTACTTCAATTCATAGAATATATTCTATAGTACTTACCTATAGATTATAATTTACGACTACTAATAGTATACTACCGCTAGCTAACTAACTAATAGTATTCTTAAGTAATTCTCCTAGCTACTATATAATTATTTTTAATATACGAACCCTATAGTAGGGTAGGGTACTAAAGTAATCCCGTACATTCTATCTTAGCTATAGGCAAGTACGCTAACTATACTAGAGTCGCTATACTTGTCGAGATTTTTTCCTAGTAGCCTAACTTAATAGAAGAAGCTAAAGGTAGATTAAGCCTATATATATAGTACTGTTATGAAATAGCAGCTTAGGAGGAAAGTAGGAGCAGGCCTGGTAGTA